AGGAAAGCCTTCCCTTCCTTCAGTTTCAAGAGCTTTTTGCTTAGAAATTTTAGGTTGAGTGGCTAATGCTCTTCCAGATGGGTATGATTTTTCTGTTTTCTTCTGTACGGAGTCAGAGGGTTAGTGGAACCAACTCAGAAGTTGTTTAACCCCTTGTTAGGAAAAGTCCCTGAGAGAAATAGATGAGAACTGTGCTGAGATCTTTAATTAAGCACACTGTGTAAGAGAGGTAGGATTCAGTGAGAAAGGACTGGCACAATTTGAATTAGACTTATTTGGAAAACTTCCATGGGATATTTAAAATGAGACATTTAAAGTTATTAGAAAATAAGAGAAAAGAGATACGTTGCAATCATTAAAATCCCCTTCATCACAAGGCAAAGTGCACATCTTGAAGGCATTAACAGTTCAAACTTAGATACTAGCCTTTCGAGTGAGGTTTGCAAGACTTTCTAGCAATGACATACATCATGAATTTTATATTTGCTGAGTACCACGTGAACAAGCCACTGATTTCCGTGAGGTAGCTTTTCCCAAATGGGTTTATGGCATCTTGGCAGGAGATACATTTCGTGTTCTCCCTGCAGTGAATTCACTATAGCCCAAGCACATACTTCCTCCTGCTGGTGCCACAAGTATTCATTAAAGCTCAGTTTCTTTGTCACAAGAAACATTCAAATGCTGTATTATTTGTGTTATGATATAAACTTCACTATGGTGAAGTTCCATTGAATTTCTGGGCAGTTGAGATGTAAAAAATAGACATCCTAGCAGGAAAGAGCAGTAGAGGAATCAGAGCAGGAATGCTGTAGTGCAGATATGTTAGTTCAAGCAGAGTTTGGAACTTGCACAGGTTTTTTTCTGTTTGCTAATCATCAGAAAATACAAACTACTATTGTAATAGGAGACTTTTAAAAATAAAGAAACCACAATTTAACTACCTAAATGAGCCATACCTCAAGATAATTAGATGCTGTGAATATCCACAGAGTTTAGGTAACCTTAGGAACTCATGTATGATTTGAAAAATAAGTTCAGGACTAAGTTCCCTTAAACATTTTTTACTTGTTTTCTATCATTTTATAATTAACCTTATTAGGAGAATACACAGATGTGGTATTGCCTAAGAAAATCTATGTACAGAGCACCATCTAGTGCGGGATATCACTAACATAAAAGCCTTTCAGCTCATATGTCACTTGTCTGGGGTTAGCTAATTTAATATGAACTATCGTGTTGCATAAAGTACCGGCCCAGGAGCTCCCATGGCAATATAATTTTGTAATTACATGACAGACCATCAATTGAAAATTATTTGTGATCTTTTGCAAGGAAAACAAAAGTGGATGTACTGAAATTCATGTAATCATTTATGAGAGCCATATACCTTTAGGAGGAATCTGCTTATCTTCCTGCCCATACTTTTGGTGATATATTCATTAAATAATTCAATCCAATCTGTTTATAATCTAGGTTGGACACTGATTCTCACAATAAATTTCGTGACCCAGCAGCCATTTTAGGTGCTTTAAGACCACAGTTTAGCTGCTTGGAGCCTTTCCTCAGCTTCTGCAGAACCCCAGAGCTACCAAGGTTCCCTAAGCCAGGCAGTCACAGGTATGCAAGGCACAACTAACAGGTCTTTAATCAGACTGCCATGAAGAGGGGAAGAAAAAAAGAAAGAAGCTTAGATTCTGTAGGAGAGACAGGTACAAGGAACTTATACACAGATATTTATGACTTGTTGAGGAAGGACATAAAAAAGTGAGCTACAAGGGGACTTGTTTGTTTGCTTCAAAGGCCATATTTTGGTTCTTCTGCAAGCCAACATATGAATTTGGCCCCAAGATTGTTTATTCAGTGTTTATATATCAACGTTTTTGTTCTGATGCAATCTATTTAGCACTAGTTAACTTAGTTAACTGAAGATGTAGCAATGGCAAGCTGGATTTTGTCCTGCACTAAAGAAAGATTAAGATGGCCCTCAGATACTTGGAAAAGAAGATTTTTGCATGAACACTGTGTATTCAACAAAAAACTAATTAAGCATCAAAAAGTCACTATCGCTAAAGTTTCATTCTTTTTGAAGAAGCACTTTAACTAACAAAATTTATAACTTCTCTCTCTGCACGTACCTTGCATATGGATTTTAGCTGAATACTTGAAACCTTAATGATTTCCCAATTCTCAGACCCGCTTTGAGCAAAGAGCAAGCATATGCTCATATTAATTTAAAAGTACTTCCTGGTTTTGAATAGCTCCATTTTTGCTTTGTAAGTTGACCACTTAATAGACAAATAATTAAAAAAAAAAGACAAATAAGTGGAAATTTTTGAAAATTTAGATACAGAATACTTCTCTGGATACTCTTTCTCCTCTTTCTACCTCTGTTACAACTGCCAAAGAGAACCTACTACTGAAGGAAAACCTGCATTTTCATTCTTTTGAGATAATGAGGAGTGAACTAAAGGAACATGACAGGAATGTTCACAGACCTGGCAAACTGTGGTTCAAATCCCCTTTCTGTGTAACCATTTCACTAATAGCAAGGAGAAGTAGCTTTGACAGAACAAAATGTTATACCTACAAAAGGAGTTCAAGAATTGGTGTCATGAATAACAGTTTTGGGAATGGTAGGGAGGGGTAAACTCTAGCTAGACAGTGGAGCTGAAGAGAAAACAGTAGGAAAACTGTAGGCCAAACTGCAGTACCTCAGCTCTGCCAATGCGTTCTAGATATTCTAGGGAAAAAAAATGCTGTAGCTTATAAGACTCTTTTATTGCTTATTTAATTCACCTAGGATTGTGGTTTCCCTTCTTTTAATCTCCAATATGTTTAGCAAATGCAAGAAAACAGAAATAGAAATACAATACAAGAGTATTTCCTTTGAACAAATATTACAAAAAAATATGTTTCTGATTACATGGTGCTAGTAGCTATCATTATGTTCTTTATTAAATCATGATTGATAAAATATTTTCCTTGTTATCTTATTCTTCTTCTGTTGGGTTATATGATTTGTATCAAATAGTATGTATTAATTTTCAGCTATTTGGGAGTTATGTTGTTCTGTCTAACACCTGAACAAATAAACTGGCCTTTATTATGCTGTCTTGTAAGAATAAAGACTACTTTAGAACATGTTTGTACCTGTTGAGGAAATAAATTAATATGAACAGGCAAGCCTGGCAGAGAAAGAAATTCTCTTCCAAGCTTGTGTCTTGTCTGGTAGCTATTAAAACTTCCCTTTTGAAAATCAATGGTTTGTTTATTTAAGAGCAATTATATGACCATTTTGAATTGCAACACTTTCACATGCTTTTCATGTGGCTAGAAAGATTTATTGCACAAAGGCAGGCCATAGAAAGATGGTGGAAATTAGCTACAATATTTGCATGTTGCTTACAGTATGCTAGATGCTTCCTTGTTCTGAAGAACATTCAGTCCGAATAAACATATAAATGCATTATAAGATGTTCAAAGAAAGATTTGATTCTCCTTCATTTTACAATTTCCAGTATAGAAAGGTAGTGAAATTTTACATCATCAGAATATGTCAAAAGCACCCTAACTCAGCTGAAAGATTTCATTAGTGTTCTAATAAATAAAGAGGATGGATTTATTCTGGAGTACATAAAAAAATTACTGTAGATTTTATGAGAACAATCTGTACATGTTGAGAGTCTTTTTTGTGTGTGCTAGAGATCCAACTTTGTTGTACGTAAATCCTCCATGTCATTTATTTAGGTGGAATATGATCTGCCTCAATGTTCTCCAGATTCATGAGTTAATATTTCCATTTTCTTGTGAAAAACTAAAGGAGTTTTTATACATTTTCTACATAATGGCATTCTGGGTTTTTTTCCAAATAATTAAATGTTTCTTCTCTTAGAGTAGCAAAAGAATGTGAAAATCATTATAGGAGATTCTGTACTTACAACATCTTTTTTACCTACTCCAAAACTTCCATTAGCTTATTAATAACTCATACCTACAGACATATTCATAGTTACATAGGAATCAATTTTAAGTGCTGTAATAAAATTGGATTAAAAATACTTTACCAGATTTTCTGTTTTAATGTTGAATCTCTCTCTATCTCGCTCACCATACACACACGCACATAGGGAGGCATGCCTTCCTGTCAGATACAGAATTTAATTTGGTGTAACTAACAAAAAGTTCAAAATGAGCAGTTGTAAAGCTGTTCACTGGTCCTCTCATGCAGGGGTAGAGGCTAGAAATCTCTAGCACATTATCTATTGATACATAAAGAAAAAGACTGGATTATCTAGAATACCTGCTACTAACACAAAAGGCAGAGATCTCAAAAACTCTATACTGCCAAATTTTATCAGCACAATTTTTACATTATAGCATGCTTTTTAGCTGCCTGAATGCTCTTTTTTCACTACTTAATTCCTTTTTCTTTGTTTAGATGTAATCTGATTTATCTTATTGAGATTTTTTCATATGAAGCTCTCTTTTTTCCTTCTAGTTGTTCTGGACATCCTCCTTCCCTTATTCCATGCAAATCTTTCAAGGGTTCTTTACAAACTTTTGTTTTGGGAGGATGAATATGGAAGCAAAAATGGCTATGCAGAGAGTTACCATTCGGCTGACCTGTATTCTGATCAATGTAGTCATAAACTGACTGACATATTGCCAAAAGTTAGTTTCAATTATGTTAAGCGTGACTGAAAGTGGCTGCCACATTCAAAAACTGTATTTGGACAGAGGGGGGGAGAGTGGCAGTACAACCACAAAAGCAAAATTATTTTAAGAAAGCAAGTTTAGATCCTTTTTGTTTTTTGGAAATTGTCATTTGCATCTGCCCAGCAGAATTGGATTACATTTCATCAGAGAGCTTTCCTATTTTCCTATCTTCTCCATGGCAGCAAGCACTAATCAGCGACTCTTATTATTGCTGGCTGTTGGAGTCTATTGTAGTACTAGGCACAAAAGCCAGGGTTAGGCAGAGTCTCTCATTATTTTTCTTATAAAAGAAAAATGTGCATCTGCAGCTTTGAGAAGGAGGAAGGCCCGGAGAGCCTAGACAAGTACATAGGAAAAGGAGAAGCAGAACCACTTTGATGTGACTGAACAGGACATTCAAATTTAGAGAGCTGTGGAGTCTAACAGATGAAAAAAGAAAGTAGATATTTACAGTGTCAAGCACTAAGAACCTCTAAAATGACACTTCCCTCAACATGTGCATTGTGTTCAAAGCTTAGCTCACATTAACATTAGTTGCAGCTTTTGTTGAACTCCACATGTCAATATATTAAAGTCCTTTTTATTTTATTAAAAAAAAGGCATAATGGTTACCAAGAAGATGAAAAGCATAATTACTGACCATCTAGAAATGTTAGATTGAAATGATGTGACCAGCCCTAGAAATGCTTCAGCAACAACAGACAATCCACTTCTCTATGCTGGGTTCAATTGATTCTAGCCTGGTAGCATCCCTTCTCTTTCTTCAGTTTCCTGCCTCATTCTTTATACCTTTTATGTACGCTATGTACACAACACATGCAACAAATACACCAGAGGAATTTACAGGAAATTCACTTCTAAAGTCTTGAACCATTCCAAAGCAAGTATGTTTCATCCACTAAGCAAACCTTATGCTTCTGTTTGAATAGGTTTTTTATTGCAGTAAGTACAATTAATTTTCATTTTTGGGTCAACACTCTAACAATATTGTTGTTTTTTAAAGGTGAAAGAATTTGTAGTTACTTTAAAGCAAAAAATTCTCCATCTTGATGATGTCCTTATTCCTAGATGAATGCTTGCCATTTTAAAAAAAACCCTGTACACATATTAGCATTAGTATTGTATGTAAAGATTCGTAGGCCAGACTGTCTTCTCACTTACATCTCATAAAACTACTATTTGCAGAGGAATTATTGCAAATTTATATATGCATAGATGAGAAGCAAAAATTGGCCTATCTGTTTTAATTTGGAATAATTTCCTAAAAGATTAACTAGGTGAATCGTCTTAATAAAATACTTAAACAATATTTCGTTCAAAATCTGCTGGTCTGACCTTCATGACAACAGATTTTAGGGAGTACCACCACCCATGCCAGGAGTACCAAACAATCCCGTTGTCTGTCTTGGCAGTGTAGGGACCTCTGTAGTACAAACCGTTCAGGTTGGCAGAGTGACACCTGGTGGGAAAGTAAGGGGAAAAAGCAATGAGGCTTCTGCTAAAAAGTTTCAGGAATGTGTCATTTCTGTGTGAGTCAAAAATTTTGCCATGTTTGTCAAACAGCCTAGTTTGACAGTTGCATGAATTTGCATTTGTGGACTTCTGTGAGCCTAAACAACAGTGGTTTAATTAGGGCACAACTGCAAGTGTTCTTCACTTTCTTAAAACAAAAGTTCTGCTTGTTCCTTTCACATTTTCTGATATTACTAGCTCTTGGAGTTTTTTCCTGCGAATCTGCTTCAGTGGAGAATTATTCCAGAGTTGTTCAGGCCATGGATGACAGCAGAGCATACACCAAGAAAAACTCTGGGAAATAAATCCTATTCTGGTTTTTGTTGTTCCAGAGTAGCTCCCCTCAAGTTTTCCAGTTACACCACATGATGTTTGGTATGACAAAACCTCAATACCACCATCAGTTTGTCTATTCACCTGTGGACTTCTATTTACAAATAGATGAAATCTGACAGCTAATTAAAAATATGTATACCAACTCACTGGATCACTGGAATTGGCATTTTATTTGACTATACAAAGTACATTTTTTTCGTTCTTTAAGAGGCTGAGGCAGCAATGCTGTTACAGTTTATTAAATACAGTGGTTGAAACAAACAAAGAAAAAATCCTAGCAAACCCCCAAAGTCTTGAATAAGAACCGGCACAAACTTGATACTCATTTGGTTTCTACAAGAAAGAAATTTAGATCTCTATGGAGAGCAAACTGACTGTTCCTTCTGCAGCATATTGTGATGGATCAGCTTGGTTTATCTGCCAATTCAGTATTTCATTATTAGTGCTGTTAATATTTAGCTGTCAAACACCATGATGGATTCCAAAAGCAGACTTCAGATAATACACAAACAGAAAACATTCCAAATGAACCTTATGAATATTATTACTGGCAAATGTTAGTCTTTTTGGCATTGCTTACACTTCATTAACAAAGTTTTTGAGAAATAAAAACCGTCATAAAAGCCCCATGGGAAAATTCTCATCTATATATGCTTTTTTATTGCTTAAAATTTTGAAGCTCAGTTTTGGTAATGTGTTAGTTGAAAGCTTATAATTTGTGGACATCAAAAGTGGCTTTGTTTTTGAGAATGACAAACTTGTATCAGAGGTGACATAATCTTTCTAACCATACAAATTCTGCAATGAGCAGGCGTTCTGTCTACTTTGAATCAAAACACAGATTTCATTAGAAGAATCATAAGCAAGCAAACCATAATTTGTCAACAGCAACATGAGCCAGTGAAAAGCCTTAATTAGTGCTGGGAAGCACTAATGGCCAAAATATACAGTATTCACTAACCAACTGGATGCTGCCTAAAGTAACTGGACATACTAAATTAAAAATTGCCATGTGATTATTGATATGACATTGTGAAGCAACATTCATTATTCACAAGTCAATAAATACCTTAAAGTTAGCCTATGTTCCTCCTTTCTTTCCCATAGGTTAATTTTAAAGTAAGAAACTGCCATAGTTTCAAAAGTACAGTCAACTCTGAACTACCCATGGACATTTTATCTGAATTATATATTAATGATATGACAGATGCAGAGAAATGGAGGTGGTTCCCTGAAGAACTTTTTGAATTCTGTCTGGGTTTACTGACTCCTCTAAGGCCCCCCATGAATGTAGCTATGCTGTCTCTGGGATGATTGGTGAGCCAGGCATCTTGAGTTAGTGAGATCTATGGCCCCAAGTTATTGCCTGACAGATCCACTATTATCATCCATGCATGGTGTAACTAAAACTGTGAGTGCTGAGGGAAGAATAAGATCATGCCCAACTAGAACTGTTAGCTCTCCTTTCACTAGTTATGAACCTACTGACCTTTGCAACACCCTGAATGTGGGAAATCTTATGACCTGGGTGTAGTACCAGCTCTGTGGATTTGCATTCAAGATGAAAATCTCTCCTAGAGCTTTTCTTACAAAAGGGTGCAGAGGGGCCATTTTTCTGCAGAAGTTCAGGACAACAAATTGTGAGCTGGAGCAAAACTGGTAACTTTAAACTAGATCTGAGCTACTTTCGTGAAGCCTCACTTGTGTCCTGTCCCTTGGTTTTCATATTATCTGGGCTTTTCTGTATTTCATTATTCCAGATAGCATAGAGTTGGCTAGTTGGCTCCTTCATAGCTGGGAGCTCCTATATAAACCAGCCAAGAGCACTAATTCCTTCTATGTTTGCTAATCTGTGCATGACAAATACGTGTTTCTGAATGCTTTCCTTTCTCTGCCAGTACTGTTCTTCTGAATAGGATTTCATGATACTGACATCTTCTAGCATTTTGCAGTTTTCAGTTTTATGTTAGGCTTAACATAAAAAAGTTAATAGCAAGACAGTGAAATAAAACTATTAGTAACTCATATTCATTATCCAGATAGACTGTCACTTTAAGAGCATTACACAGCCATAATAGGAACTAGCCTAGTAGGAGTCAGCTATCTTTAGTAGTTGTGTAGTACCAGCTACAAGGTATAAATAACGGTCACGTTCTGCTGTACAGCTTCTTTTGCAGAGGGGTCATTCTTTTGTCCAAATCAATCCAATATTAAAAAAGAAAGTTTTTAAAAAATAAAGAATTGTATGCAGTGGTCTAAAAGTGGTTAGTGATTCACTCCTAATGAATTCCATGGCATGATATCAGTTTAATGCTACTTGAAGTCTAAATATTCCTTTAAATCGTCAAAAGTTCTGATTTCATGTGAAAAGAATCTCCAGCATAGTTGCCTTTCCCTTTTATATCTTAGCTTTCCTGAGAAATCAAAAAAACCCCTTGTCTACATGTTACTTTTTGCCATAGGTCTCAAACACTCTGCTGACCCACTATCCATGCAAATATATTAAAATGTATTAAAATAAGTAGTCAATTGTGAAACATTTAGTTAACAGCTACATCATATCAGCTAAGGTGGTCACAGAGACTACTTGTGGAATCAGAATTTGGAAAATGAGGAGTTAAAAACAGAAACAAATGATGACACAACAGAAACAATGGAGTTGATCCAGCCTGGCAGTTCTTGCCAAGTGAACTGAGATCACAGTGAGAGAGTAGCATGCTTCCCTGAGCTGTATTTTAAACCTATTACACAGTGAGATTGCATAGTTTCTCTTCATGGCTATATTTATCCAATTAATTATGGGAAAGAACATAGCTGATCTGTACAGACTGTGCTAAGGCTACCCATTTTTAATTTTTGAATTGGTCTTCTGCATGTAAATAGAGTTTTAAAATTCTTTCACTGAAGCCTATTTAAAAAAAACCTTTGTCTCAGTCCATCCATACTCACTGACAGAAATTGAGTGGACACATTACCATCTTCATATAGAAGGAATAACAAGAGCGAGATGCTGTGAACTGAGGTGAAAAAAATGAGTCTTGATAACCTGGCACTAGTTTAGCTCGTCAGATATTTTTCAGCACTGCCACATCTGGTCTAGTGCAACGCAGAAGAAATGCAAGAATGAAGCACAACAGGGATACATCTGCAAACTCTACATGACCTACTTGTGTAAAAACTAGTTACCTTAAAGAGGCAGAATTATCTCCTCCTCACTGCCTGATAACAAAGATGACCTATGGCAAATACCAGTATCACAGAGACCTGTGCAGTAGGTGCTGTCCCTTCTACAGTGAGTCTCAGTCTTACCAGCACTGAGATCTCTGGTAGGAGACAGGGGCACATTGCAAATAAATAATGTCAGTCCTATCTTCTATCATATGTTATTATTGTCTGAGTATGCATGAAGCAGAATAGTTGACAGTACCTATATAAAATCAAAGTACCTGTTAAACCACCAGCCAGCCTTTTCCTCTTCAGCACAGTTACCTTCATAGTTGTCATTATCCCTGTCTCTAGTACTGAATTTCATTCCTCGATGATCAGCCCACCATTTTACTTCAGGATGAAATCCACCAGTAAGGGAATCACCAGCTGTACCAGAGTATTCACCACAGCTCATCTCATAAGAATGCTAATGAAAAATGTGAAGAAAGGAAAAAAAATTAAATTCCAGTATGTCTCTGGCCCTTAGCATATCAGAGAGTGAAAGCACAAAGAGGAAAATAATCTGATCCATTTGCTACCATTTTTATGCTAAGAAATGTCATGCCACTTAAGTACTGTGTAGTAGATAATGAAGTGCTGTAAAGATGCTTACCAGGGGTAAAATTTGTCATTAACTTTATGTATAAATGACATAATAAAAAACAATATTTAAGCGAGTTTGCAGTATACATTACAAATCAAAATGTTATGTACCATTACTGTTGGTAGTGTCAACAAAAGTAGAAAAACTGCTTTTATCCATGGCTACTAAAACAAATGATACATGTATTTTACAGAAAGTGTAAAATTAATGTATCAGGGTAAACTGTCGGCGAGGAAAGCTCTGAACACTTAATGTAAGGATCCAAAACTTCGTTTATTGAAGATAAAAAGCAACTTAATATACACTGCATAATAGGCTCATACATATTACAGAGATTAGGCTCCTAATTGGCACTTGACTAATAGGTGATATCATCTCAACTGCCTTCCATTGTTTACACAGGTGGCTCGTTAAGTGCTTTTGTTTTTCAAATTCCAAGCTCCTGTTTTTCAGCCCAAGTTAGAATACACAAGGTCATCGCTGCTTTCTCATGGCCCTGCTATCTCAGACTTTCTCATGGGCCTAGACAGGCTGCGTTTTGCACTTTAGCAGCTTATCCATAACCTTAGCTATATTCATATGGCCTCGTGTTTCTAATCAATCCTCAATAGTAAACTACTATTATTGCATCCTTGAAAATTATAAGCATGTGTAAGAAAGAAAATATAATAAGGTTCTACACAAACCTTCATGAAAATTAGGGAACCTGTATGTTTATTGTTGGTCTACAGAATCCACATTTTTATTAAAATCTCTAGTAATTTATTATTTTATTACCTCTTCTCCTGCAACTCTGAATCTTGCATATTGTGCAAAACGCCGTTCTCCTTCAAAATCAGTTAGATCAATTCTTAAAGTATAATTCCCTTGAAAAATAACAACAAAAATTATTTTAGTTAAACTAGCTTCTCTCACTACTTTTCAGAACTATTATAGTAGAAAATTAAAATATGTTTTTATCACGAACCTCTATCACCACAGCATATTTTATGGGGTTTTGTCTTCTTTCTTTATTCATTGTCTTTATTCACCTGAGTCAGCTTAGAAAAATTTTAGAATTATTCCAATACAGATTTTCAAATGTAGAAAATTAAAAATCTAATTAAAAAGGCCTTACGGACTTTATATTTTAGTAAGGTATTTGAGGTGGAAATAAAAGGATAGTGAGAAACAATCAATAAACATTCTCCTAAGAAAATTATATTTTTATACTCTGAAAATAAGAGTTATACTATGATCACATCGTGGTGGCACTGATTCCCGTATGATTTAGCTGACTAAGCCAATGTGTAAGTTTTGTATATGCATCATTCTACAACAAAGCCAAAGTTAGCTTAGATTGAGTGACTTTTAGAAAGATGGGAGTAGCTTTCTACACCTGGTCTGATCAACAGGACTGGCCTAGAATTACCTTCATGTAATAGCCCACACAGCCACATAAAGCCCTGACTAAATGAACTGGTACAGCATACTACCTGACTGGACTGGTAGTGATGCTGATGCAAAACAGATAGAGAGAATTCTTTCCTGTCTAGTGTGTCCTATTTCATGGAGGCTCTCTGCATGCCATTGGCCCAATGACAGTTTTGAACCTTTTGTTAGAAAACATATATTCAGATGTGTTTTGTTCTGAAACTTGGAGAAGTCCGTGCAGACTAACAACAGAACTCAGGATTTATGCTAACAAAACAGGTAACAAAAAATGGCCCGGAAAGAGCAAAGAAACAGAAACTATAAGAAGATTATTGTTACAATACAAATCTTACCTTGATTAGTCAAATAATGAAGATTTTTATTTCCAAGCCAATATTCACCATTTTTCGAAACAAAATTTCCAAAGCCTTCTTCATAGTCAGCCCAGACTCTGCAAAGAGTATAAATCATTAATTTATCAAAAAAGCAAGTTTGTTTGGATGTTTATTATACAGTTATAGATCATAGAATAATGCAAACTAGAAGGAACCTTGGGAGGCAATCTAGTCCAATGTCATGCTCCAGGCAGAGTCAGCCATGAGATCAGACCAGGTTGCTCAGAGTTTGTCCATTCAGATCTTGGAAACTTCCAGAGATGGAGACTGCACATTCTCTTTGGGTAACCTGCTGACTATTCTCACAGTAAAACAGTTTCTCCTTACATCCAATCTGAACCTCTCTTGTTTCAATTTAACAGCTCAGTCCAGTGTCTGGTATAGCACAATTTATCTGATGTGAAGACATTTTTCCTGGTTAAATCTAAGGGATCTAAGTGAATGTGTAGGTGTCTCACAGGCATTGTTTCTTTATTATCTGTGATTTGATTAAGGTGTGAAACTCCGGCAGCTGGATATATAAATTTGTAAATTGAGGTATTAGCTAACCATTTCTAGCTTTGAGTTATTAACAGATTCTAAAAATTTTTGAACTCAGTACTGGTGCATATTTTCAAGAATTAATGTGTATACATTTCCCTGCCTACAGTGGCTCTGAAACACTTTCTTAGTGGTTTTGGTTTCATGACATGTTCTAATGGGAACAGAAATATCACATATTTCCTGTATTAGAAGCAACCTACTTCAGCAATGGATGAAAGGCTGTGGACAGGCAGCCATAAGGGAGAGAAGCCCCTGCGACTTTAGCAGCTGGTAGTCTCTGGCAAGGGAAAAGAATAGGTGGTGTGTGGTGGTAATAATTACAAAATGCTACAGATTGCTTCTGTAGCTTGTCTGACCATATTTTATAAAATAGAAGTTTTCTTGGCTCAAAAATGGCTTGTTTTTGTGGTTCACAGGGCCAAAGTTTTCACTTCTGGACATTTCCCAAAAAATGTGTAAGTCTTGGCAAAGGCAAGGAGGTTAGTTGTCCACAAATCAAGTTCTCAACCATTTTATCTTTCCTGGAGGCATTTTGTGATGAGCTACAAATTACTTTTGTGGTGTGTTTCTCTCATACTTGCTTGCTGATGGCATTTTGGTTCAAGCAGATTGCTTGCATTTTTACATTTTTAGATTTTTACTGTTTGCAAAAGACAAGGTAGTCCTTTATTCGTCATTGAGAGTCCTTGCTCGAACAATTGTCAATGCATTTGACATTGAAGTGTCCTCATGTAAAATGCACAGGTTGTCAGAAAAAGGCTAGTAGAGATGTCTCATAGAAAACAGGCAGAGCCAGAAGTGGTATCTCATCTGAAGGCTGCCCCACAGAATAACCATTCCTCCCTTTTATCTGGGATAACAACCTATTCATATACTTCTAAAGTTCAGATTTAACTTTCCTCCATCTGGTTTAATGATTCTCCACTTAGTTTCCAATTTTAATGACCAAGTCTAGTACCTACCTATCAAAATTCTGACTGCCATCAGATCGTCTCTGAAAAACAGTCCAACCACCTCCTTCAGACATGTCACAGAAGGCAAGGAACTCAGTAGGACTCTGGATAGGTTTCATCTTATAAAACCCACTTTGCTTATGGCCATCATTGTAGATTTCTGCGCAATCTGTTCACAAAACATTGATTGGACACAACTTTTTTAGTTTTGTACTTAATGGCAAAATCAGAAGTCAATAGAGATAATCAAGTCATGTCATGTAGAAGTCATATATGAACGAGACTAATAAAAAAGTATATTTGCAAACACATTTCATTGACTTTTGGGCATTTTCTTGTATTTCTGTTGCTTTATGAGCATAAAGCAATATTTATTGAGTTGTAATTATTTTGACATTTCATTTAAGGAATATTTTTTCCACCATAAAATATTATAATTTTTGTTTTCATTTGCCTGGCAAAATAATTCCTCTGTTTTAAGTGGTGTCACTTTTAATTTACAGTGTATGATCCACATTAGAATCCTGCTACCAGCATAAAATTATGTATAAGACACATGGTAACCTTCGAAAATAAACACGTACATCTATGTCCAGAAAGTTCACAGCAGAACTGCCAAAAACAAGAGTATGAGTCTCCAGTGTTAGAAAACAGAAACAATTGCTGGACCTGATTCTCTTGTCCCTTCTACCAAATAGATGCAAAAATATATAGAATACTACTCCCAAAAAGTGCAGTGTATGGTTGAAATGATAGCACTTCGACTTGATACCAGTTACAGTCTGGCCTGCATTGCTGTTGATGAATATCATTTACAACAATCACAAAATCCAGAGCTCATGGAAATGTTGCAGCAATGTAATTGTATAATCTTATATTTTTTCCTCTAGGAATTAAGAAATGAAAGGAGTTCTTTTTTTATATGTAATCTACTGTCAAACAGTCATACAGGAAAGATTTTCAGCATTTCTGCTTTTCCTGGCTAAGGTAGAGCTGATTAACTTTCTGGCATTCTCTGAAACATTTATGTTTCAGAATATGTTGGCTGAACTTCCAGGCCTTGTTGGAATTTTCTGAACTATTATATTTCTTGTCAGTGAAAGTGTCAGCAAAGATTAGACATAGAAAATAAACACTTTATACTGAAAACAAATAGCTATGCCGGGATTTGAATAAATTCTAATAGAATAAATTCTAATAAAAGCTAAGTTGTCTTTCTAGCAAATGTTTGGTTGGCTTACATGAAAATAGCTTTTCTTATCCATTAATTTCTTGTGCAAAACACAAGCACATTTCAATGTTTAGCAGTTGTATATAGTGTGGAATTTCTCCCTCACTATCTAACTCAAATTATCCAGCTCTCTTGATATTAAAATGCTACAGCAGTTTAAGTGAAATAATGCAGTATGAACAGGAAAAAGCATTTCCCAAGCTATAAGGAAAGTGAAGAACTAATGGGGAAAAAATCATCAGAAATGGGAACAAGTTACATCTGTTATTTAGAGTAACATTTTCAGAAAATAAACTGAGGCATGTGCTAAGAAAATGCAAATGCCTTTCAGAGAAATGTGGGTTTAATAATCTTTTCCAGTAACAAATGAGTCAGCCACAATAATTTTTTAAAAAGTATTCCAGGATGCTGGGTACATAAATAAATACATAGCTAAAATTTAAAATCAGACTTACAACTGCTTTTAATTTCTTTTTAATGGTGCTTTGTTATATTTGATGCCTTGTTATATGTTGTGATTTCTTCCGGCAGCACAAACACTAGAAGTATATTCAAACAAGGCTATTAAAAATAATAGCAGTTTAGGCTTTCTAGAACTGGAAAATAAGAAATGAACACCATCCAGGAATCAAATTGTAATTTCAATCCAACTGTGGTTCTGGATAGTGTTTTATTATTTTAAGAGTTTGGCCTCACTGCAGCTGTTACAAGACAGCACTTAGCTTTGTAGAGGGAGCAGATCACCAGCACAATGCTGGTGAGAATATAAAAACAACTTTAAACCAGTATTTTAGAAGCTGTGATGTCATGAGCTGAATCTAACTCAGTCAAAATGGGGCCACATACAGAATATTATTAAAGTGAGATGCAGGTGTCATTATGCCAGGCTTATCTGTGTAAATATGTATGTCTCGGGGACTTTACAGATTGGAAGAGCTGGTGTGTGCTTGTAACCCAGGAGACCATTTGAATGTGTGAATGTGAGCTGATCCTGTGGGTTAGAACTTTTTGAGATTAGTCAAAGAACAGTGTTTAGCAATCTGTAACTGATGATTAACATTTTGTAAATGTCTATTATTGGCTTTTTTCCTGTTTTATGGCTGATATTTATGCTTAATTTATTGTTCACTGTTTTTTAATTATGCACTATTAATAAATCAATAAACTACTTCAATCCTGATTTGATTTATACCATCTGACATTAACAATCTTTCCCTGCCTAAAAGGTCTAGGTAAAAGCTGAACACTGTGTTTTAAACAATTATTCTATGATGAGCTTTTAAAACAATAAGTCAATGGGCCCAATTGTGCTAAAGCTTCTGTGTATCAGTACTCATGGAAATGAAAAGAATAGCTTCATTTCTAACCTGAATACTGCCTTTTTCCTCCCAAGTCAATGACACTGTTTTCATCTCCTCTGTCACTGTACTGAATCTCTTTCTTCTCTAAAAGCTGCACAATTTTTAACTGCTGCTGTTTCACACGATGCTCCAGAAGCCTCACCTGGCCCTGAAGTTGTATCTGCTCTTGAAAACATATCTGTAAATCCTGGAGAGGAAAACATATCTTATTGTAAAATCAACAAATTTTTGTGAAATTTAACATGTGATACAAAAAGCCAGCCAAAACCCCCCCACAAATAAAATATAACTTGAATAAAACATTTTGGTCACAATTTCCTACAGACACTATGTTGACTTCCACCTCATATGTTACCTCTGTTTAAAATTATTTCATATATTACAGAGTGTAATATATGAAATATGTATTAAGAACGCATACCTGTTTTGCAAAGAGACCTTCTCTTTAGTGCTTATAACTACCAGCTCTCACTGCAAACATGCAGAGGGGACTTTAGGGAAAAATACTATATTACAGACTCTATCATAAGGATGGCTTATTCTCTATCACCTGCCATCCACAGAGATTTGCTATCCAGTGAAGCCTGCTACTGACATTGTGATGGTTCTAGAATCTTAAAGGAATGCAACCCATACTGCTTATGATAAAAACCTTAATATTGCAAACGTAAATATTGTAAAGTTTTAAGATAATTTTTGGCATGCTAAAATAAACAGTCCCTAAGCAGCTGTGAATATGCATGAAAAACTAAGGTTAAAAACTTAAAGTCAATATTGCAAGAAATGTGGCGATTCTGATAAGGTGGTACCTTGCACTCATTTCACCCTGGGGCAAATGCAGATAAATGACAAGAGAGCTGGAATAGCTGTTCCAAATTCTAACATGCTGACTCTATGCAGAGCAATAAATAGTTGGTTTTCGATTAAAGACTATGGCAAAATTGCCAAAGTGATCCGAGCCTGATCTGGGGAGCTTAAATTAAAACAGTTGCTAGACTTTTAAATAGATATTAAATAAATTTTATTTCAAGGGGGTGGGGGAAAAGCCTTTGAAAATGTGACGTAAGTAACAGTCTGCAGTTTTATATGAGCAGAGTTTAGTAGCTATGGTGCTTGCACAGGAGCACAGCTAGCCCTGTGTCATGGTTTCAGCAGGCCCAAAATCCAATTCTGATTCCTAGCCCCCCTCCCACATCTCAACCCCATGTGAGATGGGTTTTCCAGACAAAAACACGAGACTCAATATGGGGGAAGGAATATATTACAAAGACTATACACATAAATAATAAATACTATAATACATTGCATACAATCTTAACTCTATATCTATCTCTACCATGACAGTAATATTTACAATGGGCCCAATCTCTTCTCCCTCCAAATAAAAGTCCAGGAGAGAAGAAGAAGAAAAGACCCCTTCCAGTCTCTGAGCAACAGGTCTCTCTCTAGGCAGCAGGCTTTCTTCTTCTCTTTCAGGTAGCAGAAGCAGTTGCTGGCTCTCTGCCAGCACACACGAGGGGGTCTTCTAAGCCTCTCTCGGCCCCCGTCTTCAAACGGGGGTCTTTCCGTGGACTACGTAACCCCAGACAAGGTCGTTCCACCACGGTCATATCACGAAGCACGGGGGTCTTCGTGACAGTCTGGTATCTTCAGGGGAAATCAAGCCCCCGTGCAGAGCTCCCATGCTCTGCCTCAAAGATGGCTGCCAGCTTCTCTGAAGCTGGAGCAGGGGGGGCCAAGGTCACCCCCCCCACACACACATTCCTTCGGCCGTCCTGGCTTATCTCTCAGGAGGCCATGAGCTTCTTAGCTCCTCTCAGCAGTGCATACTGCACTTTAGGACTCCACTCAGTCCACCACCCCCTCCTCTTTCTCAGAGGGGTCTCTAGCGAGTTTGGGGGTTTTGTTTTGTCCAGTTCTTACCCTCCGAAACTCTCTTCCTGCTGCTGGCTCGGGTCTCTTGTCCTGCTTTCTGCTGCTGGCTCTTTTAGTTTCCTCAGACAGCTCTCTGTCTGCTTCAGTTGCATACCAGCATCTGCTGCTTCTCTTGGTTCTTATCAGTTGGCTCTTTGCCACTGCTCTTCGGACGCTGCTGTCTCCGCTGCTGCTCCGTCGTTGCTCCCAGCGTCTCCCACTTCTATTTACAGGGGAGAAACTCCCCCAGTTCCTAGCCGCAGGCACTCAGCCCAGCTTCAACACCATTCCGAGTCCCTGCAGCCCCCCAACTGGGGGCTGGGGGGGGCAAAGCCCCCTAAGGGGCCGGAGCCCCTTCTCCTCGTGGCCTCTACAACATGGCCACCTCCTCTTCCCAACAAGAACCACTGCTTCCTTTTCGGTCTCCAGAGATATGTTTATATTTTGCAGGAGCACTGATTGGTCAAGCCCCAAGGGTCACCACCCCCTGGGGGTTACCACTTTCTTAGTTTCAGGGGGAAAACCTGGTTCAAACCACTACACCCTGTAAAAGCAAAATCAAAGGACAACCTTTTGGAAATTGCAGAATCGCAGAATCGACCAGGTTGGAAAAGACCTCCAAGATCATCAAGTCCAATTCTTGATCCAACACCGCTATGGTTACTAGACCAAGGCAGTAAGTGCCACATCCACCTCCCTGGGCAGCCCATTCTAATGCTTGATTGCTTTCTCTGTAAAAAATTTTTTCCTAATATCCAACCTAAACTTCCCCTGGCACAGCTTAAGATCGTGCCCTCTTGTCCTACTGCTGGTTGCCTGGGAGAAGAGACTGACGCCCACCTGGCTACAACCTCCTTTCAGGTAGTTGTAGAATGTGATGAAGTCTCCCCTGAGCCTCCTCTTCTCTAGGCTAAACAACCCCAGCTCCCTCAGCCTCTCCTCACAGGAGGATATGGAAGATCAAATCTGACATGTAAGTTCAAATCTGCAGTAGTTCTAAATTGGTATAACCTCATTCATAGGGAACAATATTTACATGTAGACCTGTAACATTTGGCATGCATGTGGAAAAACTAGTATCTTAGAACATTGCCTTATAACACTGAACTATAGAGAGGTCTGAACTAGCACACTGATGTGCACCTCCAGTGGCATCTGCATACTTTCACTTGCATCAGGCTCAGGCTTCACCTGTTGTCCATAAACACTCCCAACAAAATGTTCCGTTTGTTTGCAATATCTAGTTACACTGAAAAATTTGATCATCAGACTTTGCAGAAAAATTATAAATATTGGCCTCAAATTTAAGTATTATTGAAGTGTATCAGATACTTGCTTTGATTAATTCTTAACTGCAGTCTAATACACATGAGGAATGGGGAATATATATGTACGTGTGGCATAACTAGGCAGTTTGTCAAAGGTTCAGCTGCCTCTCGGTGTTTGGGCTGCCCATGTCGGGCTTCCTGGACAGCAGGTGTGTCTGCAGAGCTGAGCCTTTCTGGTTGGGGTCGGCTGAGGAATCACAGCAGTGCTTGACCGCAAGGGGACACTGTAAGGCCAGTGGCACGTTTACCGAACACCTTTTAGAGGAATAAACAAAGCAGCCAATGACCTGATATCCTGAGAGTCCTATCTGGTTTAAGAATACTCCCTTGAAAATCTTTCTCAGTGGTTAATAGCTATACTAGATTCCTAGCATATCCTCCTTTTCTGCTAGTAGGAAATGAGAGAAGGAAATACTTAAAATATATGGACATACAGAGACAAACTTGCCACAGTGGCTTGGAGGGATATTATTTGACCATATGCACTGGTTAATGTGGGACGTGTAGCATATTACAAAGAAAAGATGCACTATTTATTATGCAGTCTTTTCAGGGTATCTGCAGCTACATCCAAACCCTTCACAAAAGCTGAATTTTCAATGGAAATGAATTCAATGGGAGATTTAGAAGAGGCTTCCTTGACAGGTCTCTGCAAAAATCTAGTCCTGTGTGCATACATAAAATTACAGAGAACTGGAGAGCTTTAGATGAGAGAGAAAGAGATGCATAGGTGAGTTGAGACAGAGTGAATAAATAAAAAAAAATATTGAAAAATATTTCCAGGCTCACCCTGATGAGCTAATGCTAACAATAGAAGTAAAGCTATAAAAAAATTCCCATGTTCCCAGTCAGACCAAATATTAATTCTAATAATATTAAGAGTGATAAAGAGGCCATCATGCCACACTTACCAGTTTTAGTGCAATGTTTGTTTATTGAGAAGGTTAGCCTGTATCAGCCTTAACTCAGTACACAACCTTGGAGAACACGGTAAAATACAATAGGAAAGACCTGGAAATGGTGGCCCTGGTTTCCAAGCCCTTGCAATTTCATAGCAGGGCTTCAGGCAGGTTGCCTCCTTGACACACGGCAAGATCTGAGCCACTAAGAGCTACTTTCCCTTCTGGAGAGAGAATTTGAGAATTTGAGAAGAGGCAGCTACAGGTAACTAAATGTGTTTCTTTTGGGTAAAGTAGAAATGCATCTATCAGTTCCCCTATTCATACTGTTAAAAGCTATTCTCCAGCTGTGATTAAATTATGTAGTACAAGTATAGAACTTCTCAAAAAATATTATCATACCTTAGGAAAACTTGATATCTAAATTTTGTATGACACTACTTTATATATCACTATGAAAGGTCCTTTCCTTTGAACCAAATTAAACACAAGTCTGCAACAGGCTACATCTAAATATTATTCTTAAATGTGCATTTAAAATGGATATTTTTTATTGTTTACCTAAAAAATCATGAATTAATATATCTACATTACACATAGCAATTTCCCGATTAAAAAGGATTTAAGCTCACAGTGCCTAGGAAGTGACAACCCAGAAATGACTAGCCATACTGAATAACTACACCATAAGAACAAAATGATTGAGCAGAAATCAAGTTTTGAAAGTAACCTTCATGTGAAAAGTACTGGTATCTGACACTTTGCTTTCTCTCCCTGACTTCAGCCTCCTCATTGGTGTCTCTCTCTGTCAACTCCAGACAAATCCCATTACACTTTGCTGCTGGACAGCAAAACCACAGGTCTCATACTTGGAATTCCACACCTAATTTTTCCTATGGGACAATCACAGGGTAGCTGTGTAACCTCAAGGTGGATCAATGTGGCTTTTAGATCTGCAAGTTATCAGACTGTTCTTTTAACGTGCTATTACACTTTTTTTTCACAGGATAACTCTTTTAAAATCATTGGAGTTAAACCAGTGCACAGCTAGAGTAACAAAAAAGCACAATGTAACTTAGGGTTATCAGTCAGCAGCTATAACATATTGCTATTCCTTTTGTTAGATATGGACCAAAGTTAACCTATTACAATATTGAAATACTCAACAAAACGTGAATTTCTTTGTGACTGTCTCCAGTGGACAGTGTTGCCCACTGATAGAAACCAGACTGAACACAATCTGTTCTGCCTGTTTCAGTGAAGCAACTGTTTGCACTACACATTGAAAAGCAATTATCTAACAACTGCTGACAGCTCTTGGGCACATAGTCCCATGTTTAACCAGCTGCTGTAATTAATGTGCCTTCGTTTCCATTATTGTGTGAATTATTTAGCAGCTAGTGACCTTCCATTAAAATTAATGCTATAAATTAGAGTCAGAATACTTTATGAAAGCTATAAAAATACAAAGGTTTTACTTGGGGTGGTATTTCCTATATTTTTAGAATATAAACTAGCTCTAAAATATCTCTCTATTGAGATTAGTGTTTTAATGAGATTAAAATGTGAAAACAGAGATAAATTTCAGAATGTTCCCAGTTTTTACTCACAGGATCAGCTAAAGCCCACAACATTCCAAATGAAAAATAATTTTTAAAAAAAGTAAATGCATTTAACTGGAAAGCCTTTTTTTCTCAGTAGGCTTCTGTAAAAATTATATTTTTCTCCACTGAGCAGAAGTGATTACAGAGGAGTTGCTTTCTATTCTGTCTCTATAAAGCTACTTATCTGAACAAAAGTTTTCCATAAGGTAATGTAAGCTACAAACAATGATGCTTATCTAGTTGTACATTCAGCAACCACTTCCACCTAGGCAATTATGAATCAACAGTATAATCTCTTTAGGTCTCTTTAGGACCTGAATATCAAACTAGGAAGGACAGCCAAGACAGGCAGTGCAGGGTTGGTGAGGTTGGAGGGATTTTAAACAGCAGAGTAAGTGTGATTTTGTTAGGCTTTTTGTTGGAGAGGCAGAATATGTAGCAGAAGGGTTTGGGAGCTAGAAGTGAGTTTTGATCATTGATTCTGAGTGTGAATTATAATCTAATTACATGGGAACAAGTAGGAATACAAAGCTATGGATCTTGTTTGAGAAAAAATTGTGTGCCAAGTGGACAAGGTAGAAAAGGACAGAAACATTTTTCCTCCCAAGTGTCAATGTCCAGAAACACTACTGCTGCAGCCACTGCTTTAGGAGTTCCTGGGGTTTGCCTTTCTGTAACTATGCCGCTCAAAACTAAAGGTGTTATTCTGAGTTAGCATTACCCCTGAATGGTAGTGTAACCACTTTGTGTACCTTCTGTACAATGTGCCTCAATGCACCATATGATACCTTTTCTAGCAAAGGTACATCACCTCCTGTTTCGCATCAGATCCAGTCACAAACTGACTCGATTTCTTTCTTCACTGGCCATTGCCCAGTGATTTGTTGTATGTTTATGCATTTCCTCTTTCCTTATTGGAAACTTGTCCCCACTGAACATCATTTGAGGTTATTTCCCCATTCTTTCATTTTTGCTATGAATTCTAATATTTTCCATCAAAGGTTCTGCCATCCCATGTAGATAAGATGCATTGTGAGCGCTGTGGAGGACAAGGTATGCAATATTTAGAAGAAATCCTATAGACAAATATAATTACTGGAACTTACAGAGCTGCCTATGGCATCCATCAAGCTAGCTGCAAGGACAAAATCAATCATTATCAAAATCTTCATTTTGGAAGCTGTGAAGTAGAGGAACAAATGAAATGGTAGTTAACTTAAACATTGAAATTAATATTTACACTTGACATCTTAAATTTTATTCAGAAGAGTCTATTTAACCTATAATTCCTTTCTTTCAAATCATAAATATAATGTATATGTAGGCTTCATTACAAATGTCTAAAATAGTCTGATAAAATATGACTCCAAAATCCAGTAAAACTAGAATTTATCCTTTTAGGCCACTTTGTATCAGAGCTCTCCATGTATTTTAGAACAGCTACTCACATACTTTGTTTTCCAGACAAAAGCAAAAAATATTTTAAAATTAGCTGAAAAGCAGGTCAATATTCTTTGTTGGTCCTTTAAATTTGTGAGAAAGCTCTCTGTTATAAACTACTAATTAAAATCTCAATTCAGCTAGTTGTCCTTGAACTAAAGATTTATGCAACTTTTGTGTGCCAGGAGAAGATCAAGATAATTCTACTGTTGTAGAGTAATTTGGGGGGAAAATGCATAATAGTTATTAGCTTTTATTTTAATGGTTGCAAGGATGATATCTTTCAACTGATAAGTATGGATATTTGGTACTCTATGCATTTTAAACCCTCTTGTTTCATATGAAAATTATTTTAAATGCTAAAACAATCACCATTGTATCTCACTGCCTTGCAAACATTAGCTGATAGAACTTCACAATTTTTTTGTAAGGTAGATGTGTGCTTTTCAGCTCACAGACGAGAAACCAAGGCCTCCAGTTACTATAATATTTACATGGATATTCTGAATTAATTACTTAAACTGATGGTAGCTATCAACCGAGGAATGTTTCTTTTTCCTTTTAACTACAAATATTTTATTTTAGTATAGGCTAACACCTATTTAAATCAGAATATGTGTCCACTCTGCTTTTTCTACTTATCAAACTGAATCAGCTAATTACGTAGAATCATAGAGTCATTAAGGAAAAGACCTCCAAGATCATCGAGTTCAAGCATTAACTTAACACTGACAGGTCCCCCTCTAAGCCATGTCCCTAAGCACCACATCTACATGTTTTTTGAATGCTTCCAGGGACAGCGACACATTAAAACATTTGTAGTTAGACAAAGTGTAAGTTGTATAGTAGAGAGTAATGATTCAATGTCAGCATGTGCTTATTGAAACACCAACTTTATGAAAATTTTCACTCATGTTTCTACAGGAATTAATATAAAACATGAGTGGAACTTTGGCAGACTGTGCTTTTTAATGTACAAAGATAAACAGAAGTATGTTTCTAAGTGTGTGTAAAATTGGACAAGTCCAACTTTTATTTTCACCAATCTCTGAAAACCTCATGCAAGACTACAAATTACAGCCAAATTTCAAATTTCAACATCTACCTATAAAATACTTAGGATGCTTTTTAAAATTACAGTTATTTAAGTAAGCAGCATCGGTTTGTTTTGTTTTAGTTTTTTTACATCTGAGATTTGCTGGTTTGAAAGCATCATATTTGAAAACATAGAGTTGTGAGGCCCAAGTGTATCTGTTTGAAACTCTTCATACCATGTCTTGCAGAGAACTGGTGAAAACACAAAGTGTTTAGGGTACTGTGTACCCATTGACCCATGTTGCAGACAGCTCAGAAGTCCTTTTAAGCATTTTGGACATATACAACATCGACCATTAAGCTGCAAAGCTCTATACTAAGCTGATTTCTTTAGATTTCAAAGAAATCCATTAAAAATTACCTATAAAGTGTTTCTTGAGTAAAAAATGTGAACTGAAAATCTTAGGCTGTTATTTCTATTCCACAAAATTTCTGAATTTAAAGCTGTAAATTGTTCTTCATGCTAACCAAATAAATGTTATGTCATTTGAATTCGAAACTTTACCAGAATTCAATGCAACAAGTTCTGATACTGTTTGAAGTGGTAAATCCTATGAATTACAGGATTAAAAATGGGGGCCAGTGTCTGTGTGTGTGAGGAATCTGCAAGAATTGCCTGTCAATGAATTCTATTATTTAAATTTGAGACGTTTCTGCCATGAGTATTGATCCTGTAGCCATTTACAATATGAGCTCACTATGATCGTAAGACAATTAAGAGTCTTTTAAAGGGGGAGCACCTGAGAGTTCCATTTGGCAGATGTTTCAGTCAGAAACAGGGAAGACTGAAAGAGAAAGGACACAGGGTAAAAACCCCACAGGGTGGGTCTATAATAGGGTTGGGGAGACCAAAATCTGTGTGCTTTTCTCCTCCAAAAAAGGGAGAAGGTCAAAAAGAATAGGAAGAGACCTGAAATCTCAGGCTCTGAGAGGAAAAGGGTGACCTAACAGTATTTCTCTGCTTCTGCCACTGACCATCAGGGAGACCCAGACAAGGCAGAGGACAGTCAGCAGTGCTGATCCTGGACCTTGCACCTTTGAGCCAGTTTTTCAGCAGATGTAAACTCCTGTAGTTTGTCTGATCTCCCACTTGCAGTGACATGAGATTTGCTGAGTAGTCAATCCTACAGTGACAAGAAGGGTGGTAAATAGAGTCAAGCCCCATACATTTTCAAAGCACTTTGCATACACTACCCAAATCAAGAGGTTCAGTCATGGAATTACTGTGGGTAACAGTTTACTTAGTTTTCTACATTGGGGACCCCTGGTGGTCTAGTGGTTAGGATGCGGCGCTCTCACTGCCGCATCCCGGGTTTGGTTCCCAGTCAGGGTTACTCCCCCGGGCAGATGGAGCTCGTCAGCCCTGTAAGGCCATCCATCTATGAGAAGGTCACTCTAAACAAACCTACAGGACCTCACTCCCATTGTCCAAGCTTGCTTGGCCCCAGCAGATGAACCTTAGGATTAAAGGGTGGGCTCAGTTCAGCGCATGCTGTGTCTCACCTAAAAAAATCCATTGCGCAGGCTTGAAAGGTAAAAGACCTTTCCCAAAATCTTGGTTAGCGAAGACTGGCCATACTAGTTTTCTACATTTCTAAAAAACGTTTCAGTAAAGGTTGTATTAGTAACAAGTCTCTGAAAGTGCACATCCATGCTCTTTGGTAATATGTAAAGCTACAGTTCTGTTCAATGGAAGCTTAACATCTTCCTCTAGGAAGACTCCTTTGAAAGTTGGTTTCTTAAACTAATTTCTTCATTTATTTAAATATTTACCCTGGTTTACAGCTATTTGCTGACAAACATTCACACATAATGCAATAAAAAGCATTCACTGAAAAAAAACCTTCAAAAAAATTACAGATCTTAATCCAACTCACAGATGAACTCAAAGAGTTAATAAGTGTTGAGAGACTTTCAAGACTTTTGTTATAACACCTGTGTTGATTTAACAAAAAGAAAAAAAATTTGTGCAGGGGATATCCCTTTCCATGAAAATCTTAATCTCAGACAGTAAACATTTGGATTATTTATCACACATCATGATAGAATGAGAAAAATCTGGTGTAATATTTTCAAGTTGAAAACATAAGCCCTTAGTGGTTAGCTGAAAAAAAAAAAGAATCACCTTCTGTTTTAATAAAATGAAGTTTAAGGGCAACTCTTCTGAAACTTTGAAATTTTTTCCATGAGGTTACTCATTTACTATTCAGAGATTACACCTGGAATGTGCATTTGCACAGCTGTGCAGAAATTTTTATTCAAAGCTATGGAATAAAAATTCTAGAAAGATACCTTTTTACTTGTCCATGCCTGCGCTTTCTTTACAGGCTACACAGATAATCAATCCTATGTTCAAATTTCCCCTAAATTTGATGGTTTTTTCCAAGTCTTTCAATAACAATTTATTAAATAGATTTGATGACGATAAAGAAGTTCTGTGCTATGAAAATTCTGAACTGTCAGCATGTTGTTTTGTTTTTGAACTGTGGAGACGTCAAACTAGATGGAATACAGATGCCTGTTTCTGTTGGCACAGTGTCAATAAGAATCATATTGCTAATAAATACAATAAGAGACAATCTGCCAAAAGGATAGATAATGACTGGAAAGATTTTTGTTTTGCTTTCTTAAAATTCAAACTGGTTTTAATGATTAAACTCATGCAAAAATTTGTTTTTTTTTTTAAATTAGGTGGTGTTACAAAAATTACCATGTTTTCCTCATCTGAAAAACGGACAATAATTCATGATTTGATATACTTTTAGGTTTCAAAAGCAGCCTTGTCCATACAGCTATATACTAATATAAATTTAGAAACTACAGATTTGAATATTGGTTTTATTAACTATCTAGAAATGCAGGAAAATAGCTAGATCCCGGTAAACATTCATACATCATTAACAACATTGCACCAGTTATATGGCCTTCAAAAACATATTATTTTTAAACCATAACTATAGAAGTAAGCCAAAATTCCTCCTTCTTCCCTCACAGGTACCTTATATGTTTACCTTTAACTTCTGGACAGAACTCAAAGTTGTTAAATCTTCTTCGGCTGATGCAAAGAATTCCAGAGCCCTTCCCAAGCTGCGATTGTTTTTGCTATTAAATCCTGTAGAGTTGAGGCTTACATCTGCTATGAATCACTGGGCTGGAATGTTACAGAGAAGTTGCAGTTATCAAGACTAAATTGCAACATAAGAAGGAGATGATGGTAATTCTGAGCCTAACACAACACTTCCAAAATAAAACTAGACCAAAAATAACAAAGAATCATCCATTCCCTTTCACTTCTCAGATCCAGGAAATTGCTCTCTGCATCATATTCAGCCATATACTCCAGTACTTTCCACAATCAGAGCCTAAATCTCTTGGGCTTCAGACGTACATGGAGACCATAACTGACTCAACTGATTTAGAAAAACACCATAATCACTCAGACTAGAAATTACACATTAGAGGTGTAACATTAAAAGAAATCTGCTAAAAAAAATCCAACCGAAAGTAACAAACATAATACAGACAAAGCCAAAGGGAACAAGGACAAAGAATCTTGTTTGCTGTCAGTATTTTTTAGCTAAGTGACTCAGAAGCACATGATCTCAGTGACTTTGTTAGACAAAATTACTTTCTATATAAGCATTTTAGAGTCAGACAAACACATCCAAGAATGTTTTAAAATGCAATTTGAGTGTTTGCCCTTCTTCTGTGTTGGCTGTTCCCAAAAAGTTCAATAAATGAGTATGCTTAAAGGAATGCTCTGGAAGAAAAAAACTCTTAAGGAAATACTGAACAAAAGCAATAAAAGGAGCTTTACATTCCACAATACAAATATCATAGAATCATAGAATAACTTGGGTTGGAAGGGATCTTAAAGATCATCTAGTTCTAACCCCTTTGCCATGGGCAGGGACACCTTCCACTAGACCAGTCTGCTCAAAGCCCTATCCAACCTGGCCTCAAACACATCCAAGGATGGGGCATCCACAACTTCCCTGGGCAACCTATTCCAGTGTCCCATCACCCTCACAGTAATCACTAATCTAAAAACCTAAGTAACCTTTTTCCTAATATCTAATCTAAACCTCCTCTCTTCCAGTTTGAAGCCATTCCCCCTTCTCCTGTCACTACATGCCCTTGTAAATAGTCTCTCTCCATTTTCTTGTAGGCTCCCTTCAGATACTTCCTTTTGAAGACTAATATTTGTTGCAAACTTCCTCAGAATAATTTCTGGTGCATTATTTGGAATCTGGTTACCTAGCAGTATTTCTCTTTCCTCATTACTTTATATCAATTAATTAAATTCATATTCTGAATTTCAAATACTTATTAATTGCAATAAATTACTCCTGAGTAGCCTACACTAAGAATCATTCAAAAATTCAAAATCATTCAGCAAGTCATTTTTGCTGAGAATCTTACCATCACTAATGACTTCTTCAAGGAGGAAGATACCTGTTTATAGCATGACTCTTAACCTATGGTTGCTCAGTGGGTGGGCTCTGAATTTAGAAAGTAGTAAAAAGGCATGGCATTTTAAACTTGGATTTATTAACCAATAAATAAATAAAATAAATAAAATAAGTTAAACAATTTATTGAGGGTTGCAAATAGATTGTCCATCATTTGAAGTCTTTAAACAAAGACTAGATGGCTAAAACATATGGCTGTGGTTCAATTAAACAAGAACTATATAGAGTGTCAAGTCAGAGATTTATGTTATTCACAAGGTCTATAGGCTACCCATTATCAGAATGATTTTGTAAGAATAAACCTACTTAGTAGAAGACTTTCAAAGAATACACAAATGGAAGTCATATAAGCACAAAAGGAAGCGAGAAAGGCCTTTCTGAGACCTGTTGGATACATCCAATACTGAACACTGGCAAATGTCATAGACCTTATTGTGTCCAGTTAAGACCTGGATGTTCACACAGATCTTATTCAGATGTGGTGCTCCTGGGAGAGTTTGCACAGAAGTGAAGGAAAATATGGCAAGGGTCGTTAATTACTCTTCTATAATTTTTTTCACAGAATTATGTATAAAGGATAAAATGCTGTTTCTCACTTCTAGACTAAATCAAGTTCAGAACTTCCAATAAGCAAGGTAAAAATATTCAGTTGTATTATATCCTTTTGTGGATATTTAAAAGAAATATCTAGCACAAGAAATCAGTGGTCTTTGTTCCCATTATATTAGCACTTTCAGGTGAGTATCTCCTGGGTATTTTATTCTGACAGAAGTTTAACATTTTTGGATAACCCCAGACATGGCTATTGCTGATGATGAGTGGATTGAGCAGAGACCTGAAGAGATAGACTTAGTGGATGAAAAACTAAATATGAGCCAGCAATGTGTCCTTGCAGCTCAGAAAACTAATTGTATCCTCAGCTGCTTCAAGAGACACATGGCGAGAACATCAAGAGAGGTGATTCTGCCCCTCTACTCCACTCTCACAGTACCCCATCTGGAGTGCTGCATCCAGCTCATGGGCCCCCAGCGCATGGATATGTTGAAGCAAGCCCAGAGGAGGCCACCAAGATGATCAGAGGGCTGAAGCACCTCTCCTACAAAGTCAGGATGAGAGAGCTGGGGTTGTGCAGCCTGGAGAAGAGAAGGCTCCAGGGAGATTTCATTGCAGCCTTCCAGTACCTAAAAAGAGCTTATGAGAAGGCTGGAGAGGGACTTTTCCCAAGGGTGTGTACTAATAGGACAAGAGGTAATGGCTTTAAACTGTGCAGTGGTCAGGTTTAGATTAGGTATTAGGAAGAAATTCTTTACTGTCAGGGTGGCCAGACACTGGAACAAGCTCCCCAGAGAAGTTGTGGATGCCTCATCCCTGGAAGTTCAATGCCAGGTTCGATGGGGCTTTGAGCAACCTGTTCTAGTGGAAGGTGTCCCTGCCTATGGCAGGGAGGTTGGAACTGGATGATCTTTAAGGTCCTTCCCTTCCAACCCAAAGTTGGAAACACAAGATAATGCATTCATAATATTATTCTTTTACCATTCAGACTCAAAAGAAGTTGTAAGCACACAAGAAGCTTTCATAGTACAAGGAACCACCAAATTTTCCCTGCTAAGTTGTAAGACAGGTTTTAAATATAATCTATGAAAAATAAAGCTTTACTTTTTTGTCAGGTGTATGATTTTTATTCAGGAAAGTTTTACATCACCTTCAGCTGTCATGTGGAAATATGGAAGTGTCAAAGATTATACAACCACAACATGGTAACTGTGTGTTTGTTAAAATGTACTTTCATTCCATCTGCTACAAATTAATTTTTTTGTGCTTTTCTCTTCATTGTTTTCATTTGTGTAATACTAAGAATAAAAGAGAAAACATGTAATAGACTTCACTGTAGGACTAGCTGAAATGACATATTTGAAAATGTGCATTCAGCATTGTACATCCAACATGATAACTGAACGGTCTTTCACATATGCTAAAGTGTAACAATAATAAATTGAAAATACTTTGAAATAGAATATGATGCTTGGTCTTGTAACTTAGATGCTAGGCTTTTTTTTGTTTTTCCTGAGGGAAAAAAGCAAGCAAGCAAACAAACAAACAAACCCCAAACCCCATCTTGACCAACTCCATCAAAATCATGATGTTGGAGTAAATTTAACTTTGGGGTTTTTAAATTTTTTTAACATATGAAGTAGCAATAATGTGTCACTTCCATAATAATATTTTGTTACTGAAACAGAACAAAGCTGAAATCAAAGATAATCCAAAATCAGCTTTATGATAAAAAAATTCTGCATGTCAGTTTTTGAAAGGCAGCCTCCTTTCCAAAAGTAAGTGTATATTTTTTATAGACTGACTTAAGAATTGCGTGGTGTGTTTACAAGGAAATCTGGTTAAGTAGTTATCATAATGTACGATGTGCCATTTAGCAGAATACTATTATATCTTCCCCTTTTAATTGTATTCTACAAATAAAAACATTGCATATGAGCTTCACACACATAATGCTGTGGGTGTTTGCAGAGCTGACTGATATGTTAAATGCCTTCCAACAGCAGACTACTGATGAAAGTGAGTACAGCTCTATCTGTTTGAGTGGAGTTACTTTAGATTGTTCAACAGTTCACTTTAACTTATCAAAAAGCTATGCTGGATTTAATCAACAGTTTGGAATGCTGTAAAAAAATGTTATCCACTAAGCTTTTAAAATTTAAATATAGTTATCAACTGTTAATATTTTATGGTTTTTTGGAGGCGGCTAACAAAAAGTAGTCTGTTGTACTTACTTCTGCATTAAAAGATTCTCAAGGCTTCTTCTTACTAAAGCAATTTGGCATTTCAGTATTCCTTTAGAATAATCTAGATCAGTTTAACATGAGTCCTACTTAGTCAAATGACAGCAACTCTTTTGCATACTGTCTCATTTATACAAGAATCTTGCACCAGAGTATTAAAGTAGCTAAAAACGAGTTCAAATTTAAAGTTACATGCTCTTGACAGTACAACTCCCTAAAGTTCATAAGATGTCCTATGTGAATAACAGATCTTTACAACTTGCATAACTGCACAATCAACTTGAAATGTTATGGCAATAAGTGTAACTCCCTGATGAGACCAAGAGATAAGCAAAAAAGAACTTCTTACATATTCTGAAATTACAGAATGAAGGCACTTTATATTTTGGTGCATGGATAAAATATTCAAAAATAAATCCCAGTTTTAAAATAATTTACCTCATTTTTATGTAATGTTGCAAGAAACAAGTGCATAATTTAGTAATTTCACTCATTTCATAATCAGTCATTTCAGACATACAATAAAGAAATCAGCAACACACCTTCATTATCATAGATAATAAGATCAGTAAATTCAACATATTTAGACATTATTTTATCCCACACCAAATATGGAAGAAAAACCCAACAACTCTTATTAGAAATATAAAAGAAGCAGTCCTTTACATAATTTTCAATAAGCAGGAGCAAGGACAGTATTACTGCATAGATGGAACACATCACAGAAGTAAAGACCTAATAAACATCCAGATCTGTACACGTGTCCTTTGAAGAATATAGAAAGTGGATTTGGAGAAGGCCCACAGTAATTTTTTTTAAAAAATCATAATAAACACCATTGCTGGTGTTTGTCCTCTATCTTTAACCCCAAGATCATAACAAACATGGATTAAGCTATGTTGTGAGGAAATGTACATGGCAAAGTGGCCTGCTCACGATCTCAGTGTGAGCACCAAGAAAAGGACATGGTCCATAATCTTTTGCCTTACTCAGAGGAGCAGCTCACATATCCTGGCTTCTCCTTCCTGCTTTCCTTACACATGAAGCTTCCTGCTGGCCCCAGTTTTCCTTTTGCTCTCTTCAAAGACATCCTTCTTCAAAGACATCCTTCTCCTATATTCTACTTTGTGAAAAGTATGGGCTGTCTTTGAAAAGGCGCATCAACTAACCTGTCTTCCTTCCTAACAACAATTTAGTGTTGTTATCCATCTGTACCAACCCTAATCAATATTTTTCTAGAATGTAATACCTCAAGTGCATAATACAGCAAATATTATGGATTGGTGAGATAATAGTAGTATCAAGATGATTACTTTCTCCACCCCTCTGGATGTGGGGAAGGTTTACAACAGGGATCCTGTCCATTCTTCAGCTGAGACTTAGGTGCTCTTCTGGGGTCTGACCAGGTTAGATAATACCTATCTTCTAATTATTTTTCTTTTCTTTATTGCTTCTGACGACTGTTATGCTTGAGTGGATCATCAAAAATGGTTTCCTTCTTGTCCTGGTTTCTTCACTGGTATTGAATTGGCGAATCCTTCACCAACATAAAGCTTGGCTCTGGGGTCTTAAATGCCTGTGCCTCTGCCGCTACACCTACTTAACTCATTATAAGACCCTAGAGGGGTAAGTGGACACTTCATCTTCCTGTACAAATCAACTCAAAACTCTTTGTTAATCTAATGTTACACAAAGAAAGGAAAAATACCTTTAGTATAGTAGCCTGATAGTCATTGTGTAGCCATATTATGATAGACTAATCATTTTTGGCCAGTTTCACTTTTGCAGCCCAAACCTCTTTGTCATAAAATCAGGATAAAATTGGACGATTATTTGAAACAAATGCTCTATTAATTACTGTCTTTGTTTCAGGGTCTTTAAAAATTGCTCTTTCCAGATACTTCTTACATCTCCTCTGTCTCGGTAAAAGGTTAATCTTTCACTTCTTCTTGTCTCCAGTCCTTACATGCCTGTATTTTGTTTGCTTTCTTTCCTTTCACTTTGGAATGATAAAGTAAAATAACAAGATACAACCAACAGATGTGCAAGGAAAAAATCATCACGTCTCTGACATGGCTTTCAATCCTAATTAAATTGGGCTATCTCAATCCATTCAGTTTCTGTGAGGGTGCATTCATTAGCATGTCTGCTGATGGAAGCATTTATAACAGAGATCTTTGTAGGAGGATTTAGTTACTGTCAGTCTAGAGGCTCATTAGTGTTGATATAGGACTTTCCCCAAAAGATTTTTCTTTATTTAATTAACAAGACATTCTTTAAGCCATATGAGTTTTGGCTCACAATCATTCTCAAATCCCCCATTATTTTACAACAGTAGTGGAGAGCCACCTACTGGAAATAATGCTTCTTGCAGTGCAATCCATGATTCCTTCATGCCTTTTGTTTCTTTTCGAAGTCTCTGTCTCCAACGAAAAATGGCTCTGAGAAGCTGATACTGTTTCATTTCTTTGGAGCACCTTTTCTTTTTCCTAAGGGAAAAAAAAACCCTAAAAAACCCAACCAACCAAACAAGTTTGCAGCCAGTTCCAGAACAGGGACAGAAAATAAGAAGAGAAAAATCGTTCTGCAAATGTCAAGCAGGAATCGGTGTCATGATGCTGTAAGCTCCTATGAGAGACAAATTACTGATATATGATACAGTTATGAGATATAAGGAACTACAGTAAAAGGCATTGTTACTGAAACATACAGTCATTGAATTTCATTTTTTTCCTCAATAGAGTATTATATTTTTTATGTAAGATATTTTTTTGCATGCAGGAAACAGTATGAATGAGGGATCTGTACCTTAAGAATAAGCAACAGCAACAAAAATAAAGAGTCGTATTAAGGTAGTATCTTCTCTTAAATTCTGCCTCCACCTGCTGGGCCATGGGAGGAATGCCACTATAACAAGACAAAGCATGTTCCAAAAGCAACATTGACAACATTGTGCTGGATATCCAGACACAGTACTTGAGGTCAGGATAATAAGATATTAATTAAAAGAATTTTAAAAATGCTGATAAATTAAATTATTTATTAGCTTCAGAATTGCAATATTGCAATTATTATTAAATGAATAATATATATTCATCACACAGAGAGCTTCCATCAAGTTGTAGATTGTTTCCAAAGTGATTTCAGTTGTGGATATACAGTCACGTGGGTCATGGGAGAAATGGGAAAAGATGCTGCTAGGACGGTCAGTCTTATGCTCACCTTTTTCACATACTCTGTGTTGTCCAGAACTATTCCTTTGATATGGGGGCATCTGGTGGAGATAACAATAGTACTTTTATTGAAACATCTTTATTTCACAGGTTTTCCAATAATTTAGTTCCTTTTCTAAACTACAGATAGATTAATGTGCTATTGGAAAGGAATCGTGTCTTTTTTTGAGCAAAATACATTAGTCTAAATCCTAATATGGGAGAGATGGGGGTCTAACTACATTTCCATGTGGTACCATTAGAATGTTTGTCTAGCAGGATGAATTGTGAGGCCAATGTAAGTATTTAATGTTTCTGGTTTAGAAACTCAGTGTAATGGAAATGCTGAAAATTAAGGTTTTTTCTATTCTGACAAGTGACAATCCCCTAAGATGAAAGAAATATAAATGATATCAGCTTTACTGAAACAGAAATCCTGAGTGTGTTATGCAAGTTGCAGCCCCCTGAGGGACCAGCAGCTTCCTCCTGAGGTGAACTGCAGGTGAACTGATCTCTGGGGACCAGCGACAGGACCTGAGGGAATGGCCTGAAGTTGAGTCAGGGGAGATTTAGGTTGGATATTAGAAAAAGATTCTTCACCCGGTGGGTGGTTGGGCACTGGAACAGGCTCCCCAGGGAAGTGGGCACAGCACCAAACCTGCCAGAGCTCAAGAAGGCACACAGTGTGACTCTTGGGGATGGTCCTGTGCAGGGCTAGGAGTTGGACTTGATGATCCTTGAGGGTCCCTTTAAACTCAGGATATCCTACGGTTCCATGATTCTAACAACTTCTTTCAAATACCAAGCACAGCACAGCTTCTACACACAACTGGGTTTTTTAAGTGCTGAACCCTCTATTTATTTTTTTCCCCAAAAGAAAGTTTAAAGAACCTAGATCTGTGAACTCAGTGCCCTAAAACAAGGCACAAAACACGCAAAATGGAACTGCAGAAAAAGAAGGAAAAAAATTAGAACAAGACTACCACGACTTCCAACTCCTCACTGCCGTGTTTCTAGAAGGAGGTCAAAGATGGACAGGAACAGATTAGTCGATACTCCTCCGAACGAGGGCAGGATCTGATCCTCGTCCACGCTCACGGTTCGACGTGATCTTACTAGTCTTCCAGTCAGGCAAAGGCACTTATCGAGTTCATTGTCGTTCTCTTATTTTATTTTTTGAGCAAAACGCGCCCAGCCCTCCCCATCCGACTGCAAGACAGCGGCGGCCGTCCCGCATCCCTGCCGAGGGCGGGCCGTTGCCCTGAAGGGAAAACTACCACTCCCAGGAGGCACCGCCGTCGGCCGAGTGTCCGCGCCTCGCGCAGTGCCCGCTGGGAGTTGAAGTTTCGGCCGCCCCTCCCCGGCCGCCCCGGCGGTTGCGTGGGGGATCCTCGTCCGGCGCGCGGGAAGGGTCGTCCCGCCGTTCAGGCCGGGCGGCGCCTGCTCAGCGTGGACGGGCCTCGGCGGGCGAAGGTTACTAGGTAACGGTGCGTGTCTCTTTGTGTGTGTGTCTGTGTTTGTGTGTCTGTCTGTCTGTCTGTGTGTCTGTCTGTCTGCGTGTGTATCCCTGTATCCCTGCGCCAGGCACCACCCCCCGCGTCCTGGCGGAGCGGCGGCCAAGATGGCGGTGGCAGCTGAGGCAGGGGCGCTGTGAGCTGCTCCGCCAGCGGTGTCCTGCCGCGCCGGGCGAGGCGAGGCCACGCCGCTCCTCCGCTGCCCGCAGGCGGAACGCCCGTCCGGGCAGCCCAGACCACGCGAGTGGCGACCGGCGGTGGAGGAGAAGCCAGGCCGGGTGACCCCCTCGGCGCGGGGTGAGCCGCCCTCTCCTGCCCCCCGAGCTGCCCCTTCCCCGTCCCTTCCCCGTGTGGCAGCGAGGGCCGCGCCGGGGCGGCGGGGCAGAGCGGCCTGGCCCGGCCCGGCCCGGCCCGCGGGTGTGGGGGGTGGGGAGCGGGCATTGGGCTCAGGGACAGGTCCGGGGTAGGGGGAAGCTGTGCGGTGCCGGCGGGTTGTGCGGGCCGCGCCCCCCGCCAGGGCAGGGCGCGTTACCCGCTCTCCAAGGAGACGCCGCCGCGTCCGGGCCAGCGGAGGCGCCTTGGGCAGAGCCCGCCCACACACCCGCCCCGCGGCGCCGGCTTTGGCGCCGCGAGGGAGCGGGATCTCCGCTCGCCGCCCCCGGGCCGGGAGCGCCTCACCCGCCTCAGGCAGCGGCTCGGCCGGCACAGCCGCCGGGGCAGCGCTCGCTCCGCCGGCCCCGCTGGCGGCGACAGGACCCGTTGGGAGTGGGTTCGGGGCCCGCCGGGAAATCGCAGCGGGTCGGGACGACAGAGCCTGCTGGAAGGCTCCGGCGCTGGAAGTCCCGGGCACACCGCTCCCGATCCGGGTGTGTGAGTGTGCGGCTTGTGAGAGGTGCGACAGGAGGGGACTTGCTCTGTTGACTGCACCTGTGCGATGGTACTGTGTGGTTGGCATTAATGGTTAATGCCCAATGAGGAGCGCACGTCTTAAAAAACTAAAATTAAAAAGAAATGTTTGGTCCTACTTTTAGCCTTTATGGTGCTGTCATGGCTTTTTGTGACTTTTTGTTTTCTGGTTAATTTCTTTATTTTCAGAAGTTTTCTCTGTGCGGGATTTAGTGCTTTAAAGAGCTCTTGCAGTTCACATGAGTGCTGTAGGAAAAAGAATCTCAAGAACAACTCTGCTGCAGAATAAAAAGCATTTTAAAATACATACCTTTGTTTTGCTAGCATGTTTAGTAGTAGTTCTTCTGAGCAATTTGCATATGTACAAAATATGTTTTGCCTATAATCCTACATGTTATCTTAAGTTATTTTTTCTGTAGAAAATCTACTTTCAAGTCCTTTTTATTTTTCCACAAGTCTGTGTAAATGTTGTAAGGCAGTATTGACATGCTCAAATAGAGCTTTTATACAGATTCTGTAATATGCAAGAAGCTGAAATTGGCAATGGTTGCTGGATGCAGAAATAGATAATGGTAAGGTACCAAAGCTTTTAGAAGAGGATTTCTTGTGGAAATAGCTGGTAAAATGAAAACTAAGCAAAAATGCAAATTGATGAAATGTATGTGTGGAGGAAGAAGATGCAGCTTCAGATGAGAGAGTTTCATTTCTAAGAAAAAAGCTGGCTGAACCTCTTTGTGTTTTTTAACTGAGTTAGAGGGATAAAATACCAGCAGAGCTCTTGGATCTTAAATTCACTTTATCTGGAAATACCAAAGCCCATAATATGAAAGTTTAGAAACTTGCTCTTTGGAAGGGCCACAGTTCTACTAGAACACTTTAAAATCTACTGGCTGGAAATCAGGTTATTTTTATTTTTGACCTGTATTTATCAGGGTGTATTGGTATATGCCTGGTCTCCTTGTTTGAGAGTATTATTTAGAATATTCCATGTGGGGTACTGAACTTACTTCAGAGGTAATGAGAGACTTCTACAGCAAAAATAGGTGAGGACAGCTTTTGTGAAAGTTTTAAAAGACATAATTGTGAGTAGTTACTTGTGTTATGTAAACATGAGTACTGCCACTTCTTTTTACAGTGGAAGGTAGGGGAAAACTACTTTTTTGATGGTTTTAGTAGAATTATATAACATGATGATGAGGAAACAGCTTACTGAATTGGACTGTAAACCCAGATGGCCTCTAATCTTCCTCATTATGCTTAGTGACATAGGTCAGGATACAGTGTCTGTTGAGATGTTGGGTCTCGCAGATTTACAAAGCTGAACAGTTTATCTGTAGCTGAGGAAAGTTCTTTAAAAGCATAGCTGGTTTTAAACCAGTAACTATGCATTTGTTTTTGGGACGAAGAAAGGAGTATGAATTAATGTGCAGGGACAGTAGGACAAAGTTCCCAAAGTAGCAGGCACTGGGTTGTACCTGTGTTATGATTCTACTGGTGAGATACAGAAGCTGAATTACTCCTAACTGTTAATGTGAGTGGAGATGTGGTTATGATATAATGAGCACACCTGGTAGATTCCATTTCCTTTATGGTTTAGTAATGGGCTGTGTTTGTGCAGAAATACTGCCTTGTGCAGGTGTGCCTACTGAGAGGGCTGTGTTGTGTGTTTTTGATTGAATTCTGTACCTAAACAAGGTAGGTGTATTAGTACAGCTTTTAGACTTAGTTCAGGATTAATCTGTTTTCCTTTCTAGAACTGATATTAAAAAAACCCAACGAACTTCTTAGACACTTCTTAAACTTGAGTTTCAGATGATTTCATCACTTGCACTCTGTGAAAACTAATAGTAGATAGGCTGCAGCAAAATTTTGAGAAATAAGTTGTCCTTTTTGATTTTTTTTTTCAGTTAAAAATAAAGCTTGGCTCATGCCCTAACACAGCAGTGAAAACTAGGTGGAAAAATTAAATCTCTACAAGATTGTTTTTCTTCTGCATCTGTAACAGTACTTCATAGGTAAAGTTGGTAGCTTTGTGCAGTGGAATTGTACTAGCAGCACTTAGTGTATATAGTTGTATATTCTTCACCTTTTTGAACAGGCTAATCTAATTTTATTACCATAAAGGAATACTTTTTTCTGATCTTTCAACTTTAATGACTTTTTTTATTTCAAATGTCAAAACTAGAAGTGAAAATTAAAACTTTACATTTAGGTTGCTTCATACTGCACAGAATGACACTGTTAAAGAGCAGCAAAGCTCTAGGAAATCCACATTATTTTGTTTGATTTTGGTAGAAAGCATTGACTGCTTAAAGAGCTTAATGTGTGGTAAAGAAAATCCTTTTCCTGATGTCTGTTTTCCTCATATTTTATCGAGTGTGCCATTCAGTACTCTGTTGTCAGCACATCAGTGTTAAAATGAATGTGAAAGTTTGACGTACTAGATCTCCAGTCACTCATTGTATCAAATAGACATCACCCTGGACTTGAAAGTGTAGGCCTTATGAATTACAAAGCAATCTTTCTAAGCACTGTATCATTTGTTTTAAAGTGAGGACAATTGAGAGCCTCCCAAATTAAAAGTTTCTTTCGTAGAACAGAGATTAAAAAAACAAAGGTAAAAAAGCTCCAAACCTACAACTGTTTCTTGTTTATTTTTTAATGCCAGTTTCTGTGTTCTTCTCATTGATACATTTCTAGTAACACAGTTTAGTAAATGGGGAGTTTAGTTTCCTAAACCAACCTTTTTTTGCATTTTAAAATTAATATGTAGATTATGAATCTTTAAAATATTGTATGTAAACTGATTTTAATACAGCACATTTTTTTTAGATTGTTTCTTTTAGATTGCTTTTATTGATCGCTTGCCATGGCAACAGGAGGTGGTCCCTTTGAAGAAGGCATGAATGATCAGGACTTGCCCAGCTGGAGCAATGAGAGCCTTGATGACCGGCTGAACAACACGGTATCGTTATTCTTGTCTTGCTCTTGCTGTTTGATGCTGTACATTAGAATTACCAGGTAGATTCTGTTACTGGCAGGTAACAATGCAAACCCCTAAGCCTTGTCAGTACAGCTCTAAGGTAAATATCTGCAAAAACAGAGGTAGATGTAAGCAAATGATGAGTGTAATTCAGAGGTTGTGAAGTCTGTAGAGTATTTATGGCAAGTGTTTTGGGTAAATAAAGTAGCTAGACACAAAAGTGTTGTAGGTGTCATGAAAGTGAAAACTGTAACTTAGAATGTTCTAAGCTCCTGAAGTGAAAGTCCTCAGCAAAGAAGAAAAATACATTTTAGATTAATTTGAAATTAATTTCATGCATTTTAGGATAAAATTAATTTCAGATTTCCTGACAAGCTATTTTTAATTATGCAGTGGAGAAAATTTTATTTGTAAAGTGACATTTGCTCTAGAAAACGTATTTTGATATTGGTTACTATTTTTACTTCTAAAATGGAAGTGAACTCTACATCACTGAATGAAATAATTTACTTTTTGTCTGTGTATATAACAAATACGACTTTTTTTCTTCTCTGTCCTTCCCCTTAAGGACTGGGGAAGTCAACAGAAGAAAGCAAACAGATCTTCAGAAAAAAACAAGAAAAAACTTAGTGGGGAAGCTGAAACAAGGCTTACTAATGATATATCTCCAGAATCCTCACCTGGAATGGGACGACGGAAGACCAGAACTCCTCATAGTTTTCCTCATGCTCGGTACATGACCCAGATGTCTGTTCCAGAGCAGGCTGAACTAGAAAGGCTTAAACAAAGAATAAACTTCAGTGATCTGGATCAGGTTTGTGTGAATACTAGCTCTCACTCAAAATGTGACTACAGAATTTATTCAGTTATCTCTTAATAATGTGACACTTGAGGAAAACCTTTCATAAGTGATTAAGGTAAAAAAAAGCTCTTATAGGCACCGTGAGAGCCAAATCAAAATTCTGGTTTTGAACTTGAAAAAATTAGGGAAAGTCGTGGGCCATGGCTTTCCTATGCTTAAGAGTATGCTAGCTGTCTTCACTCTCTTAGTCTCAGTCATTAACAAATTCCTGTGTCCTCAGATTAGTAGTTCTTACTCATGGTACTTGTCTACCACTTGAAAATATGTTACCTTATTTTGAAAGTCTGTGCTTGAAAGTGCCAGTTTGTGATTCTGAACATTGTTAGCCTTGTGTATTAAACAGAGGAGTATCATTAAAAACTGCTTCTCAGTAGAGCGTAGAGAATTTTGTGGCACAAATTCTTGAGCCATAACTTCTTTTTTGGGAATATGGCACATTCATCCTTCTCTTGTCCAAAACAATGAAAAGTACGAGGGATTAATTCTTTGGTAACAAGACATAAATTTGTGCAAACAGTTTCAGAACAGAGGCTGAACATCTTTCCCAAAGGTTGTTGCTAACTTCTTTGGGTTGTGAAGATTCTTTCAAGTGTGATTCGTTGCGTTGACTTAGAATATAAAGGCTGCGTATAACTTCCTCCTCAGCTGTGTGTTATGGCAGCATGCTGCTATTCAGAAGGTTCTAAAGAAAGCTGAAGTTATGAGGTATAATATCCTGCAGGGGAATGTGTTGATTTTTTATTATTGTTATTTTCCCAAATGTATCTGGAGAAGTAGGATGCCTTTCACTATGGTAAAGGTGGAGGCCACAACAAGAATGAGGAACTAAATTCTGAGGAACTGCAGAATCTTTTTGCTTCTCATCTATTCTGGGAGGATGGGCTTACTTTCTGAAAACTATATGACAAAAATCACCAACACTGTCTTTCTCTGACTTTTGGCTGGTTGGTGACTAATTAGGTAACTTTAAAATGAGTCTAATAATACTGCAGAAATATTAATTCAACCAGCAAAATTAATCAGTGTTGAGAACATATTGGATGAAAATAATAAAACAATTGTTCTTTCTTTTGTTTTTATATAGAGAAGCATTGGAAGTGACTCTCAAGGCAGGGCAACGGCTGCTAACAACAAACGTCAACTTAATGAAAGCAAAAAACCATTCAACTTCCTGTCAATGCAGATTAACACTAACAAAAGCAAAGATCCTGCCTCAGGTTCCCAGAAGAAGGAAAGTGAGGTTTCAGCGCAGTGTAAAGAGTTGTTTGGAGCTGCTCTGAGCAAAGATTTCTTGCAAAATTGTCAAGTCTCTACTCAAGAAGATGGAAGAGGAGAACAAATGATGGATAGTAGCCAGGTATTTACATGGCCTATAGAGGCTACAGAATATTGGTATATATATCTCTCTCTTAATTTTCAGTGCATCTTTCTAAATTTCTTAAAACTATAAATCTTTATTGGAAATACTTAACTTTCTACTGTTTTGAAAGGCAGCTTGAAGAAAATGTGAAAGCAAACTTAATCATCTATTGTTGTTTAGAAATCCACTTATTAGTAACAGTAGCGGTATTAATTTTCATCTTAGAGGTTGGCTCCCTTTAATAAGGTTCCAGAAAATTCACAGTTCACTGTTTTCCTATGCTGATGAGCTTTTTTCTGTTTTGGCCTATGTTGACTAGAAGCCCTGTGCTTCAGCCTTGCAACTTCTTGCGTGCATAAATCTATCCTTATAAAAGCTGTTGACTTCTAACTGCTTTCGGAAGTGTGCTTGTAGGATTGAAAGTATTACTGTGTCCCCTCCTTTAATTACTCTTTTGCTATTGCTATCACCATGTCTTGTGTGTTAAATACGTTGAAGCTGTAGCTGAATGCATTCAGTAACTTCAGTGTCTTTACAGATTGTGAGCAGACTAGTTCAAATTCGCGACTATATTGCTAAGGCCAGCTCCATGCGGGATGATCTTGTAGAGAAAAATGAAAGATCGGCCAATGTTGAGCGTTTATCACACCTTATAGATGACCTTAAAGAGCAGGAGAAATCCTATCTGAAATTTTTGCAAAAGATACTTGTAAGTTTGAGAACATAATATATCTGTTTCTGCACTGTAAGCTTTTTTTAGGAGTTGACCACTGATGTTTTGATGGTGGCACTGGGGATGTTGGTTTTGGTATACAGTACCTTCCGTAATTCATTTTTACTGCCCCCTTATATAGCTTTTGATTTATGCCAATGAATGTTTCAGGCTAGAGAAAATGAGGAGGATGATGTTCGGACTATAGATTCAGCTGTGGGATCTGGTTCTGTAGGTGAGAGCACATCGCTAAACATTGATGTGCAGTCTGAGGCTTCAGATACCACGGTAAGCTGCCTTTTAGTAATTAAGGTGCTAGAAATGAAGGCTTTATTTTGGTTTTGTCATGGTTATGATAGTGTCATAATCTGCAGTTCGGTTAAAAAATGGTAAATCCCAAGCACTCTGTTCAGGAGGTGTTTGTGCATGTGTTGATTTATTTTTCTTTTAATATGGGAAAAAAAAGTAATGATTCTGTCACAGCAAAATTATAAGGATTTTTTTTCCTTTTTAATCAAGAAATGAAGGTTTTTTAAAAATCTTTATTCTTCAAAGTACAACGAAGGGTTAAACGTGTACTTTGGCAGAGCATTCACTGGCTTGATGTAGGAAAGAATATTTTTCTATGCAATTTTTCATCTATAAGTTTGTTTCTGTTACTAGGGAAAATTATCTGATTTTGGATCAGGAGAGGTTTAGAAATGAGTCATTAGAGGGCCATTGTCCAAGTATCTTTCCAATGATATGACAGAAGTATTGACCTAGGACAGAAGTTTCTCTCATTTTTTGGCAAGATGGGCACTTTTTAAAAAATCTGTTGTGAATTTAGTGCTGAGACAAACAGTCTTCCTTTCTATTTTTAAAAGCTTTTTTTTTTAACATGGTAAACATTTCTTGTCGTAGATACAAAAGCATTTTAATAAGTTAAGTTTTGCTTCTTCCTTTACTATTATACTGAGAAAAAGTACTACAGAGCAGGTGCTCTCTTTGTCCAGTTAGTACAGAGAATGTTCTGTGGATGAGGAGAATTTATGTGCTTGGAAGTAAAACTGTTAAAACATTAAGAAGCTTTTGTAATTACTTTTGGTTTCATAAGAACTCTTTCTATCCCTTTAAAGAAATAAAATTATACACGTGGAAGATGCACTTTTAACTTAAAAAAAAAAAAAAAATTGGAAAATGCAGAAAAAGACCAGTACGTTTTCTGAGAAGAAATCACGTAAACTTGCGTTTTTCTTCATATTTGCAAAATGCGATTTGGTTTTTGTTTGGCTCTTCGTTTTGCATCTAAATTCTCTTTACATGCTGCTTGAGTATGTTACGTGTAGAGTGCATACTTCTGGTCATAGAACATTGATTGCTATATGGAGCCTTATGCAAATTCTAAGAATGACTAAAAATGTCTTCACCCTTTAGTAGATCTTATTTGATATTAGTTTTCATTATTTGACAAGATAAAGCAGTAGGTTTGTAACTTAAAAATGCATGCTAAGTTGGAGCGTATCTTCAAAATCTAACATACTAAACGATTTAATAAAGGAGGTATCTTTTAGCTTGAGCATTCGGCCCCGCATTGAGGACAAACTAGGGAATTCAGCTTCACAGGAACAGGTTACAGACATTGATGTTACAACAAGCCCTAAAGGGAAAAGTGACAGAGCTGCTCTGAATGACAGGGAAATCTGGCCCTGTGGGATTAATAGCCAGGAACATGGATTGCTTTCAAAGGTATACTTCACAATGTTATTTTAACTTCAAATAGGGTTTATACAGGCTAGTCTTCCCTTTCCCCTTATCTCCTTTATTAATTGCTTTAAATGTATTTGTTACTTACAGTAAATGTTCCCACTGGACTGCTTATGTGTATCCAGCTGTCTTTTCATTGCCTAGAGTTTTTTTATTCTAAATAGAGATGCTTGACAACTTTTTCTTCCTAATTGTTAGCATTGACAGAAAATTGTTAACACTGACAGTTAGCATGGATGTAACTCTCTACAGCAGGTGCTGTGATTTTATGTAGATGATCCTTCCAGTTTTGTTGTTCCTTTTTGGGGGAAAACATATTATAAATGTGACTTTCAGACACTTTTCATGGTTATGCCAATAGTCTGCCGATACAAATTTAAGCTAATACCATGTAGAGAAAATAAATTAGAGAGTAGTAGCCTTAACTTGTTCCACAAATGTTTTTGTATAGCTGTTTATATAAATATTTCATTGGAAGGGGGAAGACTTAAGGATTATGGAGTCTAAAACTTGTTTTGTTACTTGTTACCAACTTTTCTATGGCTTTTCCTTTGCTCTGATTTAATTTTAAAAAGTCTTAAGTTTTATTTTTTTCCCCTAAAATAAAAGGCTTAAAAGTTTTATCAAGCTTACTAGTCCAAGGTTAGAACTAAGTTTGAAAATTTGTTACACAATTTTAATTAACTTAAGCAAATCTGGTACTTTAGATAAAACTTGGATTATTTAGTAGGGGAGCGAGGCTGAGACACATACCCTTTTTCCCTTTCTTCCTCTTGTTCCTTCCTGCTGATTTCATTGTGTGATCTATTTTGTCTCTGCTTTCTGTATAAAAGATAGAAGTTTAACAGAAATGATCAGTGCCAGTTGCAGTGCATCTTTTAGTGATACTTGGAGAAGTTTAGAGTTCTGGTATTTCTCTGTTTTCTCTGATGGAAAGTTGAGCATTCCTTGATACCCAAAACTAGTTAATAAAATGCCTGCTCTTATTCTGCAGGAATATTCTATTTGATGCAGAATATTTGAACTGAATTTTCTACTTCAGGAATTAGCACTATGTGGGTAGAAGATTATGCTTTTAAGTTAGTAGTGTTCTTAGATACTTGTTGGCTGCTAATAAAAAGGAGGCAATTTTTTCCATGATTTCATCTGCATAGTGCAATAATCCAGCTTCGAACAGGATCAGGATCTTAACTGGATGCCTCATTATTAAAATAGTTAATTAAAATACTTCATTGGCTGGCAATCCTTGAGTAACAGTTTTGATGCAAATCTTCAGCTCTTAATTAGGATAGGATGAGGAAAATAACTTGAGTTCTAGTATATTTTAACTGCTCAGCATGCTTCTGTTGTTTCAAATCTGTTTTCCATGTGTTTGAAAACGTAACACAAGTTTTTGTTTTGCAATTGGTTTACATAAATCTGGTCTGTTCTAGTATCAATGCTATAAATACAGCATACAAAGCTAAACACATAGGTTAGAGAAGAGTAACTGCCTAAAAGATTCTGCTGAAAATTTAGAGATTTTAGGCCAGTGAATCAGTTGAGATCTTTTATGTAGTTCCATGGTACAATGTCTTATCTTGCGTACCTTTACCAGTCTTATAGGTTAACACCCTCTTATATGATTTAAAAGTCAGAGGGATGTCTTTGGGACATTAGGTCAGCTGACTGGATTTCTAAAGAAAACTTAAACCCCCAGGAGTGATAAGCATGTGTTGGTTGTACAGGCTTCTCCTTATTGGATGTCTAAAATTTTTTAAATATAAAGGTCCACTGAAAGGTGAAACTGTTTAATTTTCACCTTTTTACACAAACTAGCTGTTTTTTCCTATGCAAGTCGTGCTTGTTTTGACACTTCTATTACTCTTACTCAACAAATAAAGTGTCGTGGTTATGGTAATGTTCCTCTCTATTTGCAGGCCAGAGATCCTCAACAGGAAGCTAAAGAGGAGTTGGAGAACTTGAAAAAGCAGCATGATTTATTGAAAAGGATGCTACAACAGCAGGAGCAGTTGAAGGCTCTTCAAGGGAGACAGGCAGCTCTTCTTGCTTTGCAGCATAAAGCAGAGCAAGCCATTGCTGTCCTGGATGATTCTGGTATGTGGAATTCTGATGTCTTTAATATCATGTTCTCATGACTAAATGATTAAAGCTGGAGTTGTGGAATAAACACTAAAAAAGTCTTTTTATAATACACTTTTTAAAAATTTTACTGGGAGGCTTCTATTTCTGAAAATAATTGACAATGTAACATTGTAAAATGATGTGTCATTTAAAAAACACACAGCTGATTACTCTGGTTTACTGTAAAATCCTAAAATTGTGAGGTTTTTCTCCCAAGAATTGACTGCCACCAATACCAGATTAGAAGCCTGCCACTTGTCTCCATCGTTGTGCTAGGGCTTTGAAGAAAAGTATTGGAGTGGGGGGTAAAATGTGTCTCTCTACATCCTTCTGTCTATAGGCAGTTAGTAGTTTGAGGTTTAATTTGCTTTTTGTAGCTTGACAGTTTAATAGCCATTAGTAGACTAATGGTTAATTTGATAAAAGAAAGGAGAGAGTTGCTAAAGCAGTCGCATAAGTAAACGTGAAACTAGAACTCTGAAATTATACGGCATGTAAATTGAGAGCATGATTCTGATAATAAAGCACCATCATTGTTATAATCTTTAGTTTAAAAGCATTCTACTAATTTGTTTTCATATATTCCCAGTTTTTCAAAGTTATCTTTGGGACAGAGGTGACTTCTTGATATCTGTTTAGAGGTTGTCAGCAGAGTTGTTTTCTGAAAGGCTCAGTCTTAAAAGGAAGACAGTTGTTCTTGTTTTGTGCACTGTTGGTACGTGAATTTTCATTTGTTGGAAACTTGTCCTGGCCCCCCCAACCCCTCCCAAAATCCTGTTTGTTTTTCTTTTGACATGGGCTACAGTTATGTGTGCTGTTATAGGGAATGACAATTTTGCACTGAGCAAGTTCAGATTTGGTCTGCGTTAGTGTTCCATGATTCTTCCCTATAAGAGATGCCGTTAGGCTTGATTAGAGGGTATATGGGATAGTAGTTCTTGCTGCAGTTAATTTTTGTATTTAAAATATCTTCATTCGTACAAATAAGGCATTGGTTTCTACACTTTTTTGTAAAAGTCTCCTTTTAAGGTTCCTTGTTCTGATGAGCTCCTCTTCCTGTTTTGCTGTTCTTGATTGGATGGATTATAGGAAATAAGGTGTAACTAGGGTGGAGAGATTTTAGAAAGCTACCACAAGAACAAGAGAAGCAAGTGTCTTTGAAAGATGTTTCCTTGTTTCCTAAATGGTTTTTGGAAGTTACTGTTCTCCTATCTGCAGTAGTAGAGCTGTAATGGAATCTGCTTTCTGTGCTTTCCTGCAATACACAAAGCTCTGTCTTGAGGAGTGGGTAGAAAAAGGCTTGCTTGTGATAAATTAGAACAACTTTTTTTTTTTTTTAAATTCTGTGATGAAGGGTTTTTTTTTGTTTGTTTGTTTCACACTTCTATTGTATCACTCTTAATAACAGTTTCTTACTGCTGTTTGTGTCAACTGACTTAAAAATGCAGCATGTGCCAGACCTATAGGGTAGGAAATGTTAAGATTCAAATTCAACTTAGGGCAAAGTAAACGTTTTAGCTCTGAAAACAGTGAAACTTTATTGTGCATGTAATGAAGTCATGATCTGGGGGGAAAATAAATAATATTTGTGTTTTATTTTTCTTACGAACTGTTGGTTCATACTTGGGGAAAAAGCAAGAGTTATTTTGGTCTATCAACTGCCACTTCGATATCTTAGTAGTATTTGAATATGAACTTTCACGTGGGAAAAAAAAACACTTTCTTTTAAATGTATTCCTCTCATAAAGCTTTTTGAAAGACGGGCCCCAAGACTCTGTTTGCAGCTGTAAAGATTACAACTTATACCAGTGTGAAAGCTTGGTGTCTATAAATTTATTATTTTAAGGAAATGAAAACTTCATGTACTGTTCTTAGTTTAGCTATACTAAATGATTTCTAAATTTTTTTACTAACAAAATGTTTCTATTAGCCCTAGAAGCTTGGTTGATTTCATTTTGCTCTGACCTTTTTAGCAAAACATGGAACAAGCTTAACAAGTCCTTTTGTACGGTCCTTCAGAAAGCAACTCTGAGTTGTCGTGTTAGTATTTCCGTAATGGAAGTAATCTTTCAACAATAAAGCTGCTGGAAAGGACACAGCATTAAAAATATGTGCTGTATTTTTAGACTTCAATATATTAATGTTAAACCACAGATTTTCATCAAAAAGCCTTTATTTCGTTGCTGTGGAAAAGTATTTACATTTCCCCCTCTTTCTGTATGCCCAGTTGTAACAGAGACTACAGGTAGTGTTTCAGGAGTAAGCCTTACATCAGAACTGAATGAAGAATTGAATGACTTAATTCAGCGCTTTCACAACCAACTTCACGATTCTCAGGTCAGTCCTTAGACTGCACTGTATCAGTTTTGCCATTATCAGTTCTTCTTAACCTTTTTAATAGTGCAGTTAACTGTGTCTTGCTCGTTTCTCTGCATTCGCTAGTGAAGCAGAGTTCCCCCAAACTTGAAAAATCAGCATCTTTGTATTCTTTAGGGTTATTAGTTGACTGAGCTATGCTTTGTCTCGCAGGTTTCTGTGGAAGTCCAGAGAAGTATTTTCTATATTGCAGTAAAATTATTAACTCAGTATATACCTGATATATCATTAAAGTGTTTTCAATATATTTCCTTTTATGATGTTCTTTGTTTTGGTGTTGAGTCCAGCAAGCCCATAAGAGGGCTTTTTGTTTCTTAGAATTTATTTACCTTTTTTCATAGTACTGTGAATAAAATGAAGTTACTCTTTTTAGACACAATCTGTGCCAGATAATAGAAGGCAAGCAGAAAGTCTTTCACTTACCAGAGAGATTTCACAAAGCAGAAACTCTTCGGTGTCTGAACACCAGTCAGATGAGAAGGCACAGCTTTTTAACAAGATGCGAATGTTGCAGGGTAAAAAGCAAAAAATGGACAAACTGTTGGGAGAACTTCATACTCTTCGTGACCAACATCTAAATAACTCCTCCTGTAAGTAAATATAGGCAGAATTTTGAAAAAATACAACCTTTTTAATGTGCGTATTTGTAACATGGTCTTTCAGCTTGCAGTTGGTTAATGAAGTGCAGGTGATAGAGTTGTGCTGGGGCAATATTAATGTAAATGTTTTTTAATGCTGTATAAGTTTCTGTCTTAATGAAGAACTCTACAACTGATGATGAGTGTCTTCTCTACTGGCACTTTGGTTTATAACATCAAAGTTGACTAATGTGAGGATGTGATGATAGGGTTTTTTTTCTTCAAGGCTTGTCTGTAACATGTCTGGCTTGTGGAGACTACCATATGAACTTGAACTTCCTGTATTTTTGTCACAGTACATCTGCATTAATTTTCTCAGCATTTCATATGTTAGTACTTCTACAGCATTATGGGGTTTGCTTGTCCACTGTCAAAAGGCTTTCTCCTGTACTAGTTGCAAGGAGTTTAATCATAGGCCATTCCAGAGGACGTTAACTGTCTGAATGGACAAGGGTTTGGACCTTTTCTTTAGATGCCTATGTCCTCTCCTTAGTGTCTTGATGTGGGGCTACTTGCTGCTCTCACTTTCTATTTCTGGAAATGCATCTGTACTGGTGAGGTTTATGCTGTAGCTGGAAACTTTCTAAAGGGGTGACCACAGTGTGTTGTGGTTAACATTAAGAAATGAGGCATTGGAAGCCTGCACCTGAAGGACTACGTGCTGATTTAATAGTTACGCTACTATACCCCCATTTTTCTGCACATAATTAATGCATGTAATGTACTTGGGTATGATTTCGTATAGCTGGGAGAAGCAAACATCATGTTTATGTTCCACAGCATGTGGACAAAAGAGCTTAGTAGAGGTGAAAAAATTGCTAGGGTTTTTCTTTTTATCAACTTTGAAATGTTAATTTAAAAAAAAAAAAGAGCAATTCAGCTTTAAATAAACCCTTAAAAGAATGCCTTGGGCAGGTTCACAGCATGAGAGCTTTCACTTATGACATTTGATAAAGCTAAAAAGACTAACTGAAATCTTGTTTGCAACAGATACCTTATTACTCCTTGCCTATTGACATTGCATGCCATGAAACTTAAGAAGAAAGCTTTAATCTTTCTAATAAAAGTTATTAACTGCTGTTTTATATGTTGGTAATATTTTCCGTAGTTATTTTAATATAATTCAGTTAAGCAAATTGTTCATGTGAACTGTATTTCTTTCCTGTAGTTTTTCCTGCTTCAGGTTCTCCTCAAAGGAGTATTGATCAAAGAAGTACAACTTCAGCTGCTTCTGGTCCTGTAGGCATAGTAACTGTTGTCAATGGAGAACCAAATAGCCTGGCATCTGCTCCCTATCCTCCTGATTCCCTGGTTTCTCAAAATGAGAGTGAAGAGGATGACAATCTAAATCCAACAGAAAAGCTTCAGTAAAAGTTCTTTAATTTCTTTTCATAATGTGCATTAGTGATTTTGAGTAATTTGTTACTTTACCATTTCCATATTTTAATCTACTTAATTTAGTACTACAAACTCTTTAGTAAGTGGTCTTAGACAATCAAATGAGTTCAGATCTTCAAAGAGAAGGGTATTACAGCTAGGAAACTGGCAGCAAACTTTAAGAACTTTAAATTGTATGTGCACTTTTTAACTCTACATAGATTCAATTAATACGACAAAGCATATAAAATATTCTCTTTTTTTTCCCCTCAGGAAGCTAAATGAGGTTCGTAAGAGGCTGAATGAGTTACGTGAGTTAGTTCACTACTATGAGCAAACATCTGATATGATGACAGATGCTGTAAATGAAAACACTAAGGAGGAGGAAGAAACAGAAGAATCAGAAAGTGATTCAGAACATGAGGATCCACAGCCTGTTACAAATATTAGGTCGTTGTATTTTTTGTCATCCTAAATCTTTGTAGCTGAGTTGTTGCTTCAAGAAACCTGCAGTACATTATTTCAGTCAACCAGAAATAACTTAAATCTGTGCTTACATTAAATTGCCAATTTTTAAAATGAAGTAGCTGTGTTACACAGATGTTTAATAATCATCTTGTCCTGGGTAGCTTATTTTTGTAGATCAGAGTTAACATTTAGAAAATCACTTCAATAAGAGACTTCAAAAATCTGTAATTCCTTTGGGTTTAAGCATGGAATTTTTTGTATGGAATTCCACTAGAAGGTTACAGTCCTAGACTAGGGAATTGGAGTAAAAACAAACTTCAGTTTACAGAGGTATTTACAGCTATGGTCTAACAAGGCAACGGAGTGCATCAAGGATCTTCACTGTGCAGAAAGGAATACTCATTTAGCTATGAATCATATAAAGCTTTTATAATACAGACATGGAGCTGAAGGTCTCTTGTGTTGTTGTAGTTCTACCAGGGAATAATTTATAGCTGCTTCTAATTATTTAAAAAAAAATAATCTGTTGGAGAGATGAACATTGAAAAATTCCAAATGTCTGGACTGATTTTATATGGGGTTGTGCTTTTTTATTTTAATGGTCAGGACACATTCCTATAAAAGCTAGGTAAAAAAAGGCTGAAGTAAAATTGTATCCATATCAGTTCTTAAAAAGTTAACATGAGTAACTTATTTTACCCTAGAAACCCTCAAGGAATCAGTAGTTGGAGTGAAATAAATAGCAACTCAAATGTACAGTGTGGAACTAATAACAGAGATGGAAGACATCTTAATACAGACTGTGAAATAAACAACCGATCTGCTGCTAATATAAGGACTCTAAAGATGTCTTCTGCTCTAGGTATGTTGTAAAACCTTCTGTTAATTTTACATCTTAGTGCAAATAAAGTCGATGGCTGCACAGAATTTGGGAGAACCTTGTTTGATGAGCAAAATGTTCAAGAGTCTAATCATTAAGCTGATATTTTTCTAACATCCAGTAGTTTCAGTGGGCTTCAGAGGTTCAATAATGTGTCTTTGGTACTGTTTTGTTTCCTCCTCTCCCTGCTTCTAGACTGTCGTAATAGGGAGAATGACAAAGACCTTGATTTACCCCAAGGTGAAGATGATGAAGTGGAAGAAGACAGAGTTAGTGAAGATTCTGTGTCTAGTCACAGAAGCAGCCTGGGTGACGCTGCTGGAGACGCTGAGTTTGAGCAGAAGATCAATAGGCTTATAGCTGCAAAACAGAAACTTAGACGGTTACAAAACCTTGCTGCTATGGTGCAGGTATTTTATAAATATAAACTTGTGCACAAAAATGTAGCATTCATTATTTCATGTAATGTATAACTTCTAATAGGGAAAAATGCTTAATGTAACATTTAACATGCTTATTTTTAGGATGGGGAGAAGAGATACTGTTTAATTCTTCTGAACTTAAGCATGGTACTTCTGAAGTTCAAATTTGGAATTTTCTTGAGGGATGCTAACCTAAGGATGGCCTTAATATTTAACCTTAGCACTGGGTTACAAAATATGAAACAAGAAGTCTGAGATTTTAAAAAATAATTTTGGTCTGCATTTTTAAGATGATAGTGAATATTCAGCAGGTTTAGGTTTTTGAACTGTAGGTTTTATGGCATTGTTCAATCAGTGAAGAAAAATGTTTTTCATTAAAATCTTTGGATGTTGCAACATGTTGGAGTTGGGGTGTTTTGGCTGGGGGCAGTGTTTTTTGTTTATTTTGGAGTTTTGAGGGCCAATTATGAATTGGAAGTGTTTTTAATTTAGAATATCTCATGCTAATTTTTAAAAAATAAAAGTGCAGTTTCACAGATATTATGTCCCTCCAGAATGCTCATATTTGAGCACCATCTACTGTAACATCTGCATACTGAGTACATGTAGGTGTATCAGAAATGTAAAAGCTTTATGTGAGAATTTTAAAATCAATCTCAGAACGCACGTTTTACAATAGCAACAGTATAAACGCAATTTTGTTATTTCAAGATTTTACTCCTATCAAAAATTTCTCAGTATCTGAGAAATTATATCATCACCATAGGGATGTTAACTGTACAGTGGTATAAACTGGAATTAGAGATGATACAACAGGTTCCTTAATAACCTAATTAGTGGCACGTGTTCAGTCTTTCCTTCATAAAGATTTTTTATCTGTATGTGCTCAGCAAAGATACTGTAGGTCTGTGAGCTGTGACATACTTGGTCACTGATGATGATCTCTCCTGTTCAACACAGTCTGTATTAAGAATTATCATGTTGGAAAACAAAAGCAGCAGTGGCTACAGCTTTCATATTTTCAATTTGAGGACTGAAAGTAGAGAAATAACAAAAAGAAAAGAGTAGAGAACCATCTAGAAGACTTTCTCTAAAATATTTTAGATTTAATTTTCAGGAGTAGTTTTGTTATTTTAAGTTGTTAATAGTAATATTTAATTTATGACTGCAGTAATTAAGCAGATTTGTTCACCTTAGTCTCCTGCTCCTCTTTGCCTCCCCCTTTCTTTCTTGATATGCTTGTGTGTTTCTGCCCACTGAGTCATAAGCAAATGGTTTATGCATCCAGAATGAGACAAATTATCTTGCATTTATAGTGGAAGTTTCAGTAGTGTGAGCTTTATTGCTTTAAATTTTCTCATTAATTTAGCATAAAGTCATGATGCCATGGTGATAACTTCTCAATTCATGATTTGAATTAAAAGTAAAGCTATTCAGACTACTTGGTTTTAAAAAAATCAGTTTGACAAATTAAACTAGTTACATTTTGTGTCAACTTGAAAATAGTCCAACTGCCTTTCTGACATTATTTCAGGATGATGATTCAGAAGCTCAAGGAACAATTGCAAATGCATCTAATATTGGTGACTTGTTGGGTGAGATGGAAGAGACAAAGCAACAACCAAACAATGTCCGACCTAGTACCAACAAGTTAAAAAAAGATGTACGGCTAAATGAAAAAGCAAGGTAAACCTTTGTCAAAGGATGGTAGAGTCATGCTTTAGGCAACATTTTGCTGAGTAACATGTGGGTAACTTATTTATACAGAGAGAAGTTTTATGAAGCTAAACTTCAGCAGCAGCAACGGGAGCTTAAGCAGCTACAAGAAGAAAGAAGAAAACTAATTGAAATTCAAGAAAAAATTCAAGTGTTACAGAAAGCTTGTCCTGACCTTCAAGTAGGTAGAATGTATTTCTTTGCTTTCTTAAGGTGTTGAGCAACAAAAAATAGAATATCTTACAGGTCGTTTTTCTCTATAAAAATTTGAAAAAACTTAAAATTGGTAATACTTGTATACTGTAAGCAGGTGGACTTTTAAACCCAGAGAAGAGTTCTGCTTATGTCATTCACTTTTCTTGCTCAGTGATTGCTGTATCAAGCTCTTAGTTTCACTGTAGTTTGTCCTCAAAAGCCTTGATGTAATCTTCAAAGGTAGAGAACCTATTTTATTTTTAGCCTGAAATTTGTCTGTCCATACCTGCCGCTCACTGCTGCTTCACTTCTCTTAGTAATCATTTGCTGTGATTTCAGAACACTAAGCCTGATCAACACTTTCTTGCATTTAAATTTAACTGCACAGTGCTGTACTGTTTTTCATGCTCCTTGAAGATTAATTTCTTTCTCTGAAGTGAGCAGTAGATTATCAATACCTGTGCAACTAGAGCATTATATAATATTACGTAAATTAAGTTGTTTTGATTCCTAGCTAAGTTCTGAAATAAGTATTTAGACTTGATTCAAAAATCCCTCCCTTTTCCCAGAATACTGATTTTTCTTAACTGTGTTTTATTTTAGCCACAGGTAAGTTTTAGAAAGCTATCATGCTCTATTTTGCCATTTTGCTTTCTCTTCTAGTTGTCAGCTGGCCTGGGTAAGTGCCCAGCAAATAGACAGACTTCACAAGCAACATTGACTCCAGCCATGAATGAGTTTAACACAGCTGGCAAGCCTTTATGTGATCAGTCTGTAACAGTAGGCAATGAGGTATTTCATTCTTGATATTCTGTGACTTAAAAAAGTTCTAGGTGACTTGGACATATTTTTAAGTACTTGGTGTGGGGAGTGGAGTAGTAGCCATTTTAACAAAGCTTGTATAACTTCGTTATTTTGTTTGTGGAAAGAGGGAAATCCTGACCTGAACTGGCAAGACATTTTTCCCTAAATAGAGCAGTTATTGCCAGCTATTAATGTGTAAGCTGAATGAATTTTGAATTTTTACTGTGCACGTTTGATAGTGTATACCATAGACAAGTCATCCATAAAGAAAATGATGGAAGTATTTGAAACCTAGTTTATCTTCAATGCATCTTGCTTCCCTTTTCCCTCCAAAATTGTCTTAAATAATGATCTGGATATTACATACTCTTTCTGAAAATTATAGTACCATTATATTCTAATTCTTCCATTTTACTTCAAAAAGTTATGGTCTGAGATGAGAAGACATGAGATTTTAAGAGAAGAATTGCGACAGAGAAGAAAGCAACTTGAAGCTTTAATGGCTGAAGATCAGAGGAGGAGAGAGCTCGCAGAAACAATATCTACTGTAGCTGCATCTGTTAAAAGTGAAGGATCAGAAGCTCAGTGTACTCCACAGCAGAATAAGACAGAAAAGTAAGAGCAAAAGTCACTCTGTGTTAAGCATTGAGTGCTTCTGTTTAGTGAGATGTCAACGTTGGGGCCATTTCCTGTGTTCGTCTGAGCACTGAATATGATGATATAGCAGAGCAGTAAATTAATTTCTTGATTTCTGAAAGTGACTGTTAGTTGGCAACTTGCCAGTTTTGTGGGGTTTTCCAGCATATTTAATCTCTCCTGTTGTATAAGTGGGTAAAAGTTACCTAAGAAGAAGAAAATGAATGGAAAATGCCAAATGATCAGAATAATTGTTCTTCATCTCTGCCCCATTTATAATAAAGTAGTATTTTTCCAAGACAGTAAGTAATTTCATGTAACTGTCCCAGTATTAGAAGAATACAAGTTTAATTTTGCATTGGTGAGATAATGTTTTAATGCGTTTTGGTGCAGCTTCATTAATTACAGATAGACAGACGTAATTGTCAACAGATTGTTTTAATAATGTGTCATAAACTTAAAAAAAAAATACTTCTTTCCAAACATCCCTGTTCTCTCCTCGCCCCTGCAATGTTCACTAGGACAATGGCTACCTGGGGAGGTTCTACTCAGTGTGCACTAGAGGAAGAGAATGGAGATGAAGACGGTTATGTCTCTGATGGAGTTGGTCAGGCAGAAGAAGAGGAAGAAGATGCATCAAGTTTGAATGACAGCTTCTCTATTTATCCCAATAACAACATACCAGAAAATGCCTATTTTGTTAAAGAAAACAAGGACAGGTTTGTAGCAATACTTGTTGATCTTATGTTTGTCAGAGTATATTTGAAAGGGGGTAGAAGAAGCATTAGCTACAAGGCATCCTTACACTGGAAGGGGAAACTTCTTTCTGCATGCTAGGGAGGTGTGAGTAGTGGCATTTTCTTGTCTGAGTCTTTGTAGCTGCAATGCATATGACTAATTTGGTTATTTCTTCTGTTTTCAGTCTTATTAAATGTCTGCCATTGAGCTCTCCAGTTGTGTGGCAGAGGCTCCTGATGTTCCTGTGTATTTTTAATCAGCTTAAAAGATAATTGATCTGAAATTTTTGCTGTCGTATAGATCAGTCTCTTTGTAAATAGTAGTTCAGAGAATTAAACTAACTCTGAAATTTTTCCTTTTAAATTGTTGGCTTTTGTAGCTTTGAAAACTTTTTCAAGTCTTGTGAATATTTTTAACTCTTGCTTAGTTTTGTGTGGCTAAATGAAAATGCCATGTTAAAAGTAATCTAAATATCTTCAGATATTCTCTCTGGTTTTGCTACCAAAATAATTTCAGTAGATAGTGACCTTCTAGTCGGGGGCTGGACTTGTTAATGTGCTATGTTAGTGACTTCTGTTCTTACCTGAATTCATATTATATAGTAGTAATGGACAATACTAAAAAAAAATCCAGAAACATCATTAGCGCTTTTTTTTTTTTACAGCGATAGTCGATTGGGGAGATCTCATTTTCTATTCGTTTAGGGTAATGTGGGATTGACAAAATGGCAGGGGTGATTAGCTGTCACACTCAAATGGCTTGTGCCAAGGGACTTGTTGACATACAACTGAAACATAATTTGAATAATGGAAGTATCATTAGAAGTTGTTTGAAATGTTGGATTTTTTCCTCATTCTTCATTTTTTTCCAATCCAGGTGGAAAAACTGCCGTCCTCTTTCAGCAGATGGGAATTACCGTCCAGTGTCTAAGGCCAGGCAACACCAAAACATAAGTATGCGGCGTCAGGAGAACCTTCGGTGGATATCTGAACTTTCTTATGTGGAAGAAAAGGAACAATGGCAAGAGCAGATCAATCAGTTGAAGAAACAGCATGAATTTAGTGTCAGCATTTGTCAAACTTTGATGCAGGATCAGCAGGTAGATATGAAGAGCAGTTGATTTGCTGTTCTTACTTTGCTTTTTTTTTTTTTTCCCCCTAAATCTTTCCTAGCAGTGACTTCTGGTTTTGGTACTTTGGTCACTGTTATGTATTTTCTTTCCACAGACCCTCTCTTGCCTTCTACAGACATTGCTTACAGGCCCATACAGTATGATGCCAAATAATGTTGCATCTTCACAAGTACATCTTATTATGCATCAATTAAACCAGTGTTACACTCAGCTGACTTGGCAGCAGAATAATGTCCAAAGGTTTGTTGACTGTATTAGTGCTTAACTATGGAATTTGAAATGCTTCAGTAACAGGGAACATGGTTATGTGAATAAAAGATTACAAATAATGGTTAAATATGAGACTTTTGAACTTCTAAGTTGATTTCAAGCTTTTGAAATTGTGTGCAACATTTCTGATTGTTTTTTTTTTTTTTCAAAACTGCTTTAACACCTTTGAGCAGGTTCTTTTTGAGTAATCCTCCTTCAAGAGAACCAAAAGTTGGCAGCTCTTCCAAAAATCTTTTATGATAGCTTTATTTGGCTTTTTTGATTTAGGCTGGCTTTCCTTGAATACACTTTGTGTCTGTAGTTTTTGCTGGACTACCTGGCAAGATTCTGGATTCTAATGGTAATAGACAGCAAAAAAGCTTTTTGTCCTTTCTTGGTGTTGTCAGTTAGAATTTATGCTTCTTACGTTTCATTTGGATGTCCTGTTTTTGCCTTCTGAACTTTTTGAAAAAAGTTGTAATAGTCATTTTAATCACTGCATGGAAGTTCAAGCTCTATATCTCTGCTTTGTATTTGGTAAGTGGTATAAAAATGTCCTCTCATACAGTTTTTTGAAGTAATATTAACTTCAGTTCTGCAAATATTTTGTATATTTGGTTGTTTCTGTTGAAATTTCCTTTTCAGCATGCTTATTTCTTTAGAATCTAGTCAATTTTTTGTTGTTCTTGCAATGATGTTTAACCTGTAAACGTAATCACTCCTACAGAGCAGTTGGTTTTAATCCTGTGCCTGTCTGTCACTTGGGCTTAAAGACAAGTTATTTTCTTCTTGAAGTTTTTTTTATTAGCTGAATGGAGCAGTTCTGTACATACATTACATGGTGCAGGTGAAATAATAGGAAGCTCAAATTACTTTAATGTAAATTGAGTGTTTCCTTAGCATTCTTCTTTTTTTCCCAAGTCGTTGTTTTTTCTTGTTTTCAAGGCTGAAACAAATGTTAAATGATCTTATGCGCCAGCAAGAACAACAGTGTCAAGAGAAGCCATCAAGAAAGGAGAGAGGCAGTAGTGCACCACCACCTCCATCTCCTGTTTTCTGTCCATTCAACTTTCCTCCCCAACCTATGAACCTCATCAATGTTCCAGGATTTACTAATTTTTCTTCCTTTGCTCCAGGTGGGTATTACTATAGGGTTGAAAAGTAATATGAATATCAAAAACTTCCATTCCCTCATGTAATTGAAATCTTAGTGTGAACTTACTGAAACTCAGTAAATTTTCCTTTATATTGAGATGATCTTAAGCAGAGATTTAACATTTATTCCTGAGAATTGTATGTTTTTAATTCAGTATGAAAAGCAAGACTTTCTCAATATGAATTTGTTTACAATTGAAAATACCAACTCCATAAAGTTAAGGTTTCAAATGTTTGAAGCATTTACATACCTTCAACAGTCATTTAATAGTGTTCTGACTAAGTGAACCCTCTAATTTCAAAGTGGCACCTGGTAATTATTTCTGTTTTTCTTAGAACTTCCAACACTCATTTTTGTTCTATATACCTGTAAATGGAATGTGTGAACTAATTTTTGTTCCCATCAGAGCTGCAAAGTAACTGTTGACTTGGATACAGTATTCCTAATCTCATTATCAAATCTACTCTTGCTGTTGAATTTGAAGTGGAAAAAAAGTAGGTATTTTACTGTATAATCCAAAGTTGCCAAAACTGTTTAATATATTTCAGTCTTTTCAAGAAGCCAGGAAATAGGCATAGACCTAGACTGTAGATTGCAGATTCTAAAGTCTGTTTTCTAATTTGAGAACATATGTTAAATTATATGGAACTTGCACAGAAGAATAGCTATGTTCAGTTTGCCACTACCATAAGGATTTCGAGCTTAAAATTTAAGTATTTTGAATCTGTGACTTCTTTGGCCCTATAAATACTTGAACCATGGGACTTTTCTTGTAAATTTGACAGTGTTTGAAGTATTCAGGCAGACAGAACTTTGACTTTTTTTGGAACTGTTATTTTTACTTCCACTTATAGGAGCTCATTACTGGGGTTTCTTGAAGGACCTTTACCTCCACTGATGGGATTGTAGTATTCAGTAGTGTTCGAAACCTGCATTTAAGATAAATTCTGATTGTTATGGAGCTTTCAGGAAGAAAACAGTTCTTGCTTTCTTCCACACTGTGTTTTTGCTTCATAATTTTATGTTTCCACACAGTATGTCTCAAATTGGACTTTTTTAACAAATAAATGAGGTAGGATCTTCTGACTCTCTTGTTTACTTTGTAGGTATTAACTATAATCCAGTGTTCCCTTCTGGTTTTGGAGATTTTGCACACAATATTTCCCCACACAGCAGTGATCAGCAGGAGCAACAACATCCTCTAGATAATAATGCTTCTGGTAAAACTGAGTATATGGCATTCCCCAAACCTTTTGAAAGCAGTTCTTCTAATGGAGCAGAAAACCAAAGGTATTTAATGTCAAAGTGCAGTTCTCCTTTAATAATTTTTCCCCCCTTTCTTCTCCCTCTTCTGGAGCTTGTGGGAATTCATCATTTGTTGAGGGAATTTATTGTAATAGGATTATAATACGAACTTTACTTTTGCAGCTTCCAGTTTAATTTTTCTCCTTTTTTTTTAAAAAAAGTGTTCTGCTTTTCTATATATTAATTAGAGTATCACTTCATGCATGTTTTAAAATCAAATATTGTATTGGAGTGGCTTTGTGATGTTTTTTGTAAGTACAGGAAGATTTTGTTTCCATGGGTTTTTTTGAAATTGAGCACTTTGAATAGCTAGAGAATATAATGTCAGTGAATGCCTATTTTTTTGTGCTACTGTTGTTTTAAGAAATATTTTGTCCTATAGTACTATTTGAGCACAGCAGTAGCTGCATAAGTATATTCAGGTTGAAATAAGTGATAGTTGTGAATTTCTATAATTTTCCACTTCAAAGGGTTCTCTAGATTTTTTTTTTCTAATGTTCAGTTGGTGCCTAATTAACAAGGCAGATAACTTGCATTATGGATAAACTATTTGCCTGGTAATACATGCTGTTTCTATCTGAGAGACTAGGTTATGATATATTGAGCTCTGTCTGTCCTTCTTTTTCTTTCTGACAGAAGGAGTCATAGACAACCTGAAGAGGAAATGGAAAAAAGATCAACTTGGCTTAATGATAGCCAGGAAATGAAAAAAGATGATCAGTTTCAGCTGAGAGCAGGTTTTGCAGTTTCAGTACAAAATGTTGCTTCTGGTCACAAAAATCAGTCTGATATGAGCCAGAGAAGAGAGTTCGATGAAGAGTCTTTGGAGAGTTTTAGTAGCATGCCTGATCCAGTAGACCCAACGACTGTGACAAAAACATTTAGGTCTAGAAAAGCATCAGCACAAGCAAGCTTGGCATCAAAAGATAAAACGCCCAAATCAAAGAATAAGAGGAAGAGTTCTTCTCAGCTAAAAGGCAGAATTAAAAATACTGGTAGGTTGTAAAGTAATCTTAAATACTGTTGCAAACTCAGCTTGGATTGTAATCATTACATTCCAGAGTTTGCTCTCTATAATTAGTACCTATAATAATGAAAATAAGTTACTGAAATATGAGTTCATTTTACATAATGTAACTACACAAGGTTTTTTAGTATTTCAGTAAATAGAAAGCATACCTGATTAGAATACCATGATCATGAAAGGATCATGGATGCAGATACATGAAGATCTTAATTGTCTTCATTTTCAAACTGAATGATTTGCTGAAAGATATGCTTCAGTAAAATACTGAATGAGAACAGGGGGACAGCACAAGATGTATAGTAGTATTGTTGCAGTCACTAAGCATTTAGTACTACTGTATGGCTTCAGTGTACAGAGGAAAATTTTTGGCTAGGAAACATCATTGGTGTTTTGCATTTTTAAGAATGGCCATGAACAAATTTTTAAAAGTAACAAAACATTTGTAACCTTTTTTTAAATTTTTTTCCTTTTCCTCCCATTAGGTTATGAAAGTGCAAGTGCTTCTAGTGTGTGTGAACCCTGCAAGAGCACTAAAAGCAGGCAATCTGATGAGGTGGTTCATGCAAAGGTGTTCAGCAAAAGGAATCGGGAACAGCTGGAAAAAATAATTAAATACAGTAGATCTACAGAAATGTCTTCAGGTACTCTTTTCTAAATGTCTAATTGTTTTCTGAACTCTGAGTAAAGGACCTCCATACTTAGTTGCTAGTGTTATTTAATACCTCCATACTTAGT